TTGGCTGAATCCTTTTTGTAAAATGAGAATGAAGGATAACGATATCTATTATTTCAGTTCTCACATTCTACAGGATTCTACAAGGGCAGTAGTAATTACCATCAATTGAGCGCTCTTATGTTCCTGACGCTTCATTTTATCTTTGCCATAACCCTAAGTGATTGGTGCCACAGGTAGGGCAATTTTCCAAAGGAGGAAACCGGCTCAGAGAACTTAGTAAACTAACCAGTGTCAGAGCCGGTAGGTGACGGCGTCACAGGCCTGACTGCAAATCCGGTACTTCTGAAAGTACTGACAGCTTAAGAAGACTCTCAAACCTCAAGGCCAATCGCTAATACTCAACTAGAAACCATCCACCCGCAGGCAGCTACAGGGACCTAGGCATGCGGGAGACACCGCGGAGCCCCAGGAGTCCAGAGGACGGCCCAGTACACGTGCCGAGTCCCCGGGACCGCCCACCTCCTCCCACTGGTCCTCGTGGAAGCCGCCGCGGTAAGGCTGGCTCTGGAACTTGTCCAGGAACGAGTCCATGGCGTTGTCGTCAGCAGCGTCAGGCTGAGAGTGCTCCATAGCAGTTCCAGGATCTCTTGCTCCGATCCTGGGGCAGACCAGCGCGCGGCTTCTTCCGGCGGTGCGGGTGCCCTTTGCTCAATCCTCCGGGTGGCCCTGACCCGCGCGCCTCGGGTTCCGCCCGCCTGCACGCCCAAGCTCCACCCCTCTCTAAGGAGCGAGATCTCTCYAGCCCCGACCTCCTACAGTGCTTTAGCGGTGGTGGGTAAACTCAAAGAGGATGTGGTTGTGAGGACTTGGCTTTCTTTAGGGTGGCATAGGACATTTAAGGAAAGGAGTAACTGATCAGATGTGTCTAGTTCCCTTTTTTTTTTTTTGGGGGGGGGGGCGGTATTGGGGATTGAACTCAGGGGCATTCAACCACTGAGCCATATCCCCAGCCCTATTTTGTATTTTTATTTAGAAACAGGGTTTCACTGAGTTGCTGAGCACCTCGCTATTGCTGAGACTGGCTTTGAATTTGCAATTCTCCTGTCTCAGCCTCCCAAGCCCCTGGGATTGATTACAGGTGTGAGCCACTGCACCCAGTAAATGTGTCTATTTCTGAGCCTAACTACCTCCTCACCCCCACAGCTGGCCTGGGAACAGGGTGTGCAGTTCAGATGAGGTGAGCCTGCTTATCCAGCTACTGTGGCTTCCTGAAGTGGCATTCAGAAACCACCTGGTCACCCGGCAGATGGCTGCAGGACTGTATGGGCTGTCATGGCCTTGGTCTAGAATAAAAAGCAGACAGGTAATAGACCAATCTAAACTGGAACTAGGTTACAAGTGTGCATAACGGAGACACAGAAGATCAGGGTCTAGGAAGGCCACACATAGAAGGTGACACAGAGCTGAGAGCAGATGAGGAAGATCTCTGCACATGGATAGGAGTCTGGAGGGAGCTGGGAAATTCAGACAGTATTTGCCCATGTGCAGAAAGAGGCATAGAGGTATCTAACAGCCTGTTGTGGTACTGCAAGATATAAGAGGTGAGGCCACTAAGGTGGACAGAGGCCAGAGGGCCTGACTGCCCTATTAGCCTTTATCCTGCAGAGAAGAATGAGCCACTGAAAAGACCCAAAGAGAAGGAAAGCCATAAGCCAATTTATCTTTGGAAAGCCTGAGCTGCCAGGTAAAGGACTGGTGGAGGGAGGCTGAATTACGAGATAAGGAAGCTGCTTGTGAGCCAGCAGTGGAGCTGGCAGGCTTAGCCGATATGGGGATGAGGGAGAGCAAAGCTCAAGAGGATGCTGGAGAATCATCACCCTCCCAGAGTCTGGACTGTCTTTATCTTTTAACTCTGTCAGAACACCTGGTCCAAGTGTTCCCTTTCCTCCAGACCCAAGCCTCCTTTTTTATACTTCTCCATGCTCACTCCCTAATCCTGGTTTCCTTCCTAATTCCCCTCTTMATTATCTTTTCCTTTCTTAAATACAGAGCCTATAAAGTGCCTTTGCTTCCGTTTTAGTCCATTTTCTATTGCTATAACAGAATACYTGAGAATGGATAATTTATTTTAAAAAGAGATTTATTTTGGCTTGTGATTCTAGAGACTGGGAAATCAAGAGCATGATACTAGCATCTTCTCAGCTTCTGGCAAGGGCTTCCTGCAGCTTCAACTCATGGCAGGAAGCATGTGCAAAGAACAGGCATGTGCAAAACAGAGACTACCAGAGTGGGCTTGCTTCATGACAGCCCTCTCTTACAGTGACTAGCCAGTCCTGTGAGAGCAAGAACTCATGCAAGAAAGAGAGCAATCCATTCATGCGGCTCTGCTTCCAGGCCCCACCTCCCAGCACCACTCATTGAAGACCAAGCCACAACACGAGTTTGGGTGGGGACAAGCAGTGTTCAGTCCAGAGTGGCTTCCATTTTTTTTCACTTGATCCCTATAGAATCTTTACAAACACATTTTTCAAGTAATAGCAGGGGAGACTCAGAGAGAGGAAGTGACTTGCCCAGTGTTCTTGAACCTTCCAGCTCAAGACTACTTGGCCAATAACTGACCAAATCTCTGCTATGCTCAGAGGCCATCCAGACACAGAATACAGCAATTGTTGACAAGACCATCCCAGACCTGGGTTCTGACCAATGAAAACAGCAGTGCCTCTGAACAGAGAGAGTTTGGCTGTGGCTTGGAGATCAGTGCCTCCACTGGTTCTCTCGTATGACCTTCACAAGGCCCATCCCTCCTTAAGAAGTGTCAGGCTGTGTCTTCATCTGTGGAATGTGGGCAAGAAAGCTGACCCTCAATCCCCAGGGCTACTGTCTCACAGAGGCAATGGTTATGAACATTCTTGGCAGTTAAAGGGTTGTGCRAATGGACTCCCCCCACACACTCCCACCCTCTGGCCCAGTATCCCAATAATCTTGGCCTACCATTTACTGGAGGACAACTGTGTGGTCAGCTTCATTGGTTCCTCATCCACATCAGGAGCTTAGATGATGTGCTCCTCAGGCTTCTGTTGCTCCCATGCTGTCCCTCCCCCACTGTGCACAAATGTTTGTTTTCATCTCAGACCCTCTGCTGAGCACCATCTCTTGCAGCTGCCTTAGTATGTTCAGGCTGCTATAACAAAATACCATAAATTTTGTGACTTATAAACAACAAAATGTTTATTCCTCGCAGTTTTGGAGGCTAGAGGGTCCGAGATGAAGACACCAACAGATTTGTATCTGGTTAGGGACAGCTTCTGCTTCATAGCACCATCTTTTTTACCATGTCCTCACATGGCAGAAATGATGAGGGAGCTAGCTCTCTGGTATCTCTTATAAGAGCACTAAGCCCATTCATTAATCCTGAATCACCYCTTAAAGACCCTCTTTTTAAATGTTTTTTTTTTAGTTGTAGGTGGACACTATACCTTTATTTTATTTGTATGTGGTGCCAAGGATCAAACGCAGTGCCTCACATGTGCTAGGCGAGCGCTCTACTGCTGAGCCACAACCCCATCCCCGACCCTCACTTCTTAATAGCATCATATTGGGGTTCAGAATTTCAACATATGAATTTTGGGGTGACATATTCTGTCCACAGAGGCAGCCAGCACCCTCATGGATGGCTTCACTATCATGTTGACAAGGTCTTCAATTCACTGTGTCCAGACTGACCTTTATCCCCTGCTTTATTCCCTACCCTGCCCACCCTCCTCTGGCCCTGGTTCACCTCTAAACATGTTGTCACCATTGGCTCAGTCATCCATCACAAGTGGAATTGCTGGGTCGTGTGTAGGCATAAACTATGACCAAATAGTGACAGGTTCCAATCCCAAATAGCTGTACCAATGTATGCCCCACCTGTATCCGTATGAGGGAGCTTTCTAAAGCTGACATCCACCCATCTCTCTCCCTGATTAGCATCCCACAATGCCTTCCTGTGGATGAAGTCTTCCTCCTTGACACAGCCTCCCCTATGTCCTCTCCCTGCCCTCTAGGCTTCATCCCACTACAAACCTGCGGYTGCTTCTTGGCCCTGCATACCCTGCTCCCCTCCATACATGCTCACTGTGTAGTCATCTTTAAYCCACTCCCGGGGGTTCACTTCTTGGGAAACCTTGCCTGACTCCCCCATCCCCACCTGACCTACATACCTCCTCTGGACTCCAAAGTCTCCCAAACCCCCTGTTGTACTTTTGGTATGTCTTTATATGTATCTAATTCATCTGTTAGACCAAAATTTGTCTTCCTCGGCATTTTAAACAATTTGAACTGAATGACTGTGGRGACTGTCCTGTGCATTGTGGAATGCTTTGCTTAGTAGCATCCCTTAGTCTCTGTCCATCAGATGTTAATAGCATCCCCATCCTCAAGTCATTAGCCAGAAATGTTTCTGGATATTGTGAAATATTCCCAGGGGATCAGAAGTACCCCTAATTGAGAACTGCTGCATCATACTCAGGACCTGGGGATGGGTCTCATTCATGTCTGTATCACTGGCATTCAGAGCAGTCCTGGCCCAGGTTAAGAGGTCAACAAATACTGCTTGAATCTGTGGTGGAAAATCACCAGGCCAAAAACCCAAGGGTGGGTCTCAGAGATCAGGGTTCTGGGATATACAGATGCCATAGAGTTGGGGGTGTCTCTTCCCCTCCTTTCCTTCCCCCAAAGGGCATCCAAATCATCACCTCCTTTTGCTCTTATAATGAAGGGAAGACGTCCAGCAGGCTTACAGTGCAGCCTTGGGCAAGCCCCTTCGCCCCTCTGAGCCTCAGCTTCCCCAGTTATACAAAGTGGACAAAACAGCCTACATTTATCAGTAAATGTCAAATGAGTCAACAAGCAAAGGCCATGACAAATCCTCACAGATTCATCACACAGAGTGATGGCTGCTTGGAGCCTGGGGCGTCTCCCATGGGGAAATGCTCATGATGGAGAGGTAAGCCACCGGGCATTTGTAGTGAGCACAGTTGCACTTGGCCACCTTGAGCCCGGATGGGGACTCGGGGACATCACTGCTTCAAGGACATCTTCCAGGAATTCAGTGCCTGCAGGATCCAGGAGCGCCGTTGGTGGGAAGTGGGCAGATTCTCACAGCTGGGGCTCCAGCGGTGAGTGGTGGCTGGGTCACACATCCATGAGTCCCCACGTGGCAGTGGCCATGAGTTCCGCCAGCAGCTGGCCAGGATGTGGTCCTGGGCCTGGGCCGCACAGATGCACACTGATGCTTCTGGATCATGTCTCAAGTTTTCCAGAGCTGAGTCATGGGAGGAGGAAGGCCACGTGTTAAGATCCCTCAGCAGGTCTCACACCTCATCCTTCCTCTATTCCTTGGCTTGGGTGCCCTCTCTCGGCATCCCCTCATCTCACTTTCCTCCCAGCCCTTGATTGTTCACACCTTTCAATGCCTGAATCAAAACCAGCCTCCTCTTGGAAGCCCTCGGATGGTCCCAGCCCGCCTCCATGTTCCCATTGTCTTCACTGTTACAAAATGAACATGTGTCCCCTTAAGGGTCTAGACTATTCACTCTGTATGATGTGGTTTCTGTTATCCTTTTTGAAACTCATTTCTTTAATAAGATGTAAGCTCCCCAGAGTGGGGCTGTGTGTTCTGCCTCTTAACAAGRTATCTAACACTGTGCTTGCCTCAGCTAACAACGAGCAGAGCTGAAGTGAGCTGAAGACCCTTGCCTTTGGACATGCCCTGCATTCCTATTGCCCACTCTGATCCTGTTTGCTGAATCACTGCCCCAGACACATCACCCACCCAGGCACTACTTACCACCTTTCACTTCATTCAGCCAATCTTCCGTCATTATACTCTCCATGCAGGGGACCAGGGACCCTTGAGCATAATCCAAAAGGTGAGGGTGTCCATCTGATTTTGACACCACCACCTCATCCCCACACCAGGCCCTCAGGGATGCTTTCCTTGCCCTCCTGCAGCCTACAACTGAGGGCATGAAAGGAGAACTTCATTTTGATTGGGAGCAGATTCCTTAAGAGGGGCTGGGAAAGGTCCAGCGGGCAGGGATAGCAACAGAATAGGGGCAGGATCTGGGCTGCAGTGGACTGACAGTGCCACCCCAGGCTGGGCCCTTACTCTGCTGGGCCTCAATTTCCTCAGCTGTGACATGGGAGGAGCTGCCCCTGCTGTCCACTCCTCAGGGAAGTGTGAGCAACAGTAACATGCAGGATGCTCTGCACCCTGCACACCTGCCAGGCAGGCTGCTAGCAGAGTCCCCAGAAGGACTGAGACTCAGCTGTGCTGGGTCAGCTCAGTAGCTGGGAACTGCTCCCAGTGGCCCCATGGCCAAATCTCTTGCTGCTGCCAGCCTGTGTGCCTGGCTCCCACAGCACCTGCAGGTCCCTGAACCTCTCACTTTTCAGCAGGTCCTTGCCTCACAGCTTACTTGTCCTTTTATGTTCCATTTAGCAAGAAATCCTTCCTGATCCTGCCCCCAGTCTGGGTTAGGTGCCTGTCTATGTTTCCAGAGTTTTCTCTGTCTATACTATGTTGCACTTTATTTTATGAATCTTTATCTTCCACCAGACAGCAGTTTCTTGATCTTAGGTATACTTGGGGAGTGAGAGTGGAAAGGGAAGTCTCTGAGAATCCTAAAATTACATGCAAAAGTGTGTGCATATTGTGCCCTTTTCTAGAGTAGTGATCATAACTTTCAAGTCTCACAGAAGATTTATGACTCAGAAGAGGTAAAAAAGCACTGCAATGTGTCAGGAGCTGTCTGTGAGCAGAGCCAGCCTCTGCTCAGCTTTGTTTCCCCAGCACAGGTCTGGCACAGCGTGTTAAACACTAACATTTTTAGAAGTGGGTGATCTGGAGCAAGACTTGAATCAGCAACCAGGAAATAGATGGTGTTCCATGTAATAAGCTGCTTCTGAGCAGCACCTTACATTCTCAGGCATGCCCTCAGTCCTAGGCACTGTTCCTCTGTCCCAGCATGATCATGTTAACAGACCATCCCCCCAGCTCCTTGTCCCCATCAGCATCACTTTCCAAGGGCTCTTCCTTTCTCTAGCCTAAGCATCATGCCTGGTACATAGTAGGTGTCAACCAATACTTGCCAAAAAAAAAAAAAAACAGAAGGATGGATGCATGGGGGGGTAGACGAATAGATGAGTGGATGGCTCGATAGTTGGATGGGTGGATACGTGGGTGGGTGGCTGGCTGGTTGGCTGGCTAACTGGATGGATGGGTGAATGGGTGGGTGGATGAGTGGATGGGTGGATGGATGGTTAGCTGGATGGGTGGATACAGGACTGGCTGCCTGGCTGGGTGGGTGAATGAATGGATGGATGAGAAACAACAAATTAATTGAGGAAAGGCAATAAAAGAACCTTCACTTTACAAAGGTCATCACCTTGAAGCCTGTATGCAGCAAGGTCTCCTGGTCCTCAGTGAAGGGAGCATGGTTATTTGGAGGCAAGGTAGAGGAACAGGGGCGGTACCCCAACATGCCATCACAAGGGTTGTTTGGAAGGATTTGGGACAAGGAGAACTTATTTGGTTTCTTCACAGAAAGGCAGGGATTGTGATTGTGGGAAAGAGAAGAATGAAAACAGCTGACATTGAACACCTTGATGAGCCAGGCCTCACCTTTTTAAGAATATTCTCATCCAGTCTATGAAATAGGAGTTGATCCTTATTTTACAGATGGGGAAACTGAGGCTCCATGGAAATAAATGAGCCAGTTGGATTCACACAGGAAGGGAGATTCTACTTGACTCTCTACCCAGTTAGTCCCTACTGCTGCAGTCAATGGGGATTTGCCTGGACTGCTGCTTAGCTCAGACCCATGTTGTACTCCAAAGGGAAATAGCAGTCTGCTGTGTATAGTTTCCAGGGTTGTGACCTGTACAAAGGCTTAAGGCTGACTCAGCCTGAGGCCCACTTCTTAGCCACAATCTTTGAGGAGGGAAGACCACTGTTACATGCATCACAGCTGATGGCTGGCCAAGCCTTGCACATAAGGGGAGGCGTCTGCCCAGGTACTAGATGGGCTGGCAGCCTTGAAGGAAGCAGACTGGAGAGCAGGCAGACCCCTGGAAGCAGGACTGGTTGTGTTAGAGCAGGTTACCTATGAACATGACCGAAGATTTCCGGAGGGAGGCCCTTGAGTTCTTAGCATACTCCAAGCTCTGGCCGAGGAAGTTGAAGGCATTCTCTCGATGGGTGTTTACCTGGAGCAAAGAGAAACCCAAAAGTGCTGGGTCCTCAGAGAGATTCATTCCCCATCTACCCATCTTGAGGTTAGAAATAGTGACCCTGCCCAATAGTCACACTTTTGTCTCCTTGCTTCCTAAATATCTCTGCCCTCTCCCTGAGGCTCCCAAAGGGGGCCTCATCTCCTCTTAGCTGATTGCAATGGTGTTCCTGTCTTGTGTATCCCTTCTTCCAATCCATTCCCTTGCTGCTGCCTGAGGGAAAGTTCCCAAATGCAGATCCTGCTCCTGAGATCAGAATGGACATGACAGGCAAGGAGATAGATCTGATCAGAGTGAAGGATTCAAGTTTTAGAGCAATGGGGGAATAAACTAGGGATTGGAGGCTCTTAAAATCCAGACAGGAATGGGACTTATTCATAYAATGGAAAGTAGGAAGCCAGCATTCATTTGTGGCAGGGCAGTGACAAAGCAGTGTTTGGGTAAAATAGCCTGACAGTAGTAGTCAGAATGGGTTTGATGAGCAGGAACAGGGAAGTGTCCAGCTAAGACTCGAAGAGAGATGGTGAGAAATCTGATCGGATCATTCTCCTGTTGACAGACCCTGCACACTGAGGTCTAACCTCCTGGGCCTGGCATGCAATGCCTTCAGAGAGCCTAGTGCAGATCTAGAACTCTATGCTTCCAATACACATCCCCTGCCCCCTCCCCACTACCTCCACCTGCCACACACCCTGCTGCACACCAAGAATATGGCCTGCTTCCCCAGATCTATGCCTTGCACAAGCAATTGTTCCCTCTCTTCAACCAATAAATTACCTCTCACACCCTTCCAGCCTTAACTCAGAAGCCTTCTGTGACCCTCAGGCAGAGCTCACCCACCACCTTGATGCTTCTGCAGCATCTTGCACATCCTGTCATGGCAGCGTGTTGTGATTATTTATACCATCTTCCCACCAGACAGGGAGCTCTCCCAAGATAAGGGCCCTTTCACTCAAGCTTAGAGTCCTCAGCACTTGGATAGGGCCTGGCTTGAAACCAGTGCCCAGAAAGTGTTGGATGAATGAATGAATGAACAAATGAACAGCAAGTTCAGCAGGTTATTAACAACAACAGCTGCCTCCTCCTCCTCCTCCTCCTCTTCTTCTGCTTCTTCCTCTCTCTCTCTCTCTCTCTCTCTCTCTCTCTGTACTGGGCATGTAGCTCTCAGTAGCACTTTACCACTGAGCCACATCCCAGCTCTTTTCTTATTTTTTTATTTTGAGACAGAGTCTTGCTGAGTTGCTTTGAGCCTTGCTAAATTGCTGAGGCTGGCCACAAACTGCAGTCCTCCTGCCTCAGCCTCCCAAGTTGCTGGGATGACAGGCGTCCACCACCAGACCTGGCTACTGACCTCTTCTTAAAGCTGAAGCTCATATGACTTTCACATGAGCAAAGCTGTTGATGGCCTAGAGAACAAGGAAGAAAGTGAGAATCCATAGAGGTCTGCCATGCAGGACAGGAGCTAGGTGCCACAAGTAGCTGGCAGAGCAGTGGCCAGCAGTGTTTTAAATAAGCTAAATTGATACTTTGTTAATGTCTTTAAAATGTAGGTTTCAAACTTTTCTCCTGAAACCAGAGCACCTGGCCTTTAACAGGGCCAGGGCCCTCCCAGTTCACAGGCTGCACTATGTCCATGTCACTCATGATCACTGTCTGCCTAGCCACTGTAGGTATGTGAATTAGCAACACTGCCCAAACTTCTTCCAGACCTCCTTCCCCTCTGTAAAGTGATGGAAATAATATTAGAGGCTTGACTACAGAGGCTTTGAGTGTGGCTGATAGCAGTGGGGCCTTGTTACTTTTTATATTTATGTTAAACTCCTGGGTGCAAGATGCCTGCTTACACCTTACACTTGGGAAGAGCTTAGTCCCCCAGCTATTGGGATTGCCAAAAGAAAACTGCCTGACCCAGGCAATGTCCCTTTCCAGGGTGGTTGGCATCCAGGGATAGATGGACACAGGGGCATAAAGACCTGACTCCAGCCAGGTGTGGTAGCACATTCCTGCAATCCCAGCTCCATGGGAGACTAAGGCAGGAAGATTGCCTGAGCCCAGGAGTTTATGGCTAGCCTGGGCAACACAGTGAAACCCAGTCTGGCGGGGAAAACACACACACACACACACACACACATATACACACACATGCATGCCTGACCCCTGAGCCCATTTTGATACTCTCACTTCAGGGTCTTAGGGTTGGCTGAGACCTCCGCTGAAGTTCCATTGCAGCTCTACTTCTTCCTCTGCCACCGACCCCTCTTCTCCCTTCCACAGGGCTGATTCAATGGAGCTCCTTCTAAACCTTCCAAGCTAAYCTCATCTGCCCACGACAACAGGGAGGAGAGATTGGGACTCGATGGTAAATCCTGCCAAACATTCTGCATTTGCAGTGCTGTCCTTCTCAGCACGAGCATGGTTTGCTCCTACTCAGACTGCCCCCAGGTACCACCTAGCGAGAGGTTTTTGTGGTTAAATTAATTTACCTTGAAGTCAACAACCACAAATGCTTTTCCTTAGCACAAAACATCTCAGAGACTTTCATGTGCTGAGATGCACACATCAGGAAGCATTGCCTAAATTTATTCATCCTAGAACTTCTCCCCACACCTACCTGGGGCATATCTGGTGAAACTAGTGTCACAGGGAATACATCCTGGGGATTGCTATTGCAGAAAAGGAGGCCACTGTAACCCCTTATGCAGGGATACATTGTACAGGCTAGGGGTTGTGGGTATAGCTCCCATGTTTGCCTACTACATGCAAGGTCCTGGTTCCATCTGAGCAACACAGAAAATATTATCTACGTATAAATATATAATATAAATATATATTATACATGCAAAATATATAKAGAGAAAGACTAGTGTTTTTTTGTTTTGTTTTGTTTTGGGTGCCAGGATTGAACTCAGGGGAACTTGACCACTGAGCTACATCCCAGCCCTATTTTGTATTTTATTTAGAGACAGGGTCTCACTGAGTTGTTTAGCATCTCGCTTTTGCTGAGGCTGGCTTTGAACTCACAATCTTCCTGCCTCAACCTTCCTAGTCGCTGGGATTACAAGCGTGCACACCACACCTGGCTCAGGCTAGTGTTTTAACAATGCCACCCTGGTGGTCTGGAAGGGGGGTAGATTAAAATTAAAAGCTGGGAGACCCACCAGATAGCTGGACTCATGGCCCCAATGAGAGAGAGTTAGGATTTTTAAGATTGATCGGATGTGGAAGGTGAGAAAAAGGAGTCTAGGATGATTCTAGGTTTCTGCTTTGAGAACCTAGAGGGTCAGAGCAAGAATGAAAGGGAAGTCTTTAAAGTTCAAAAGARACGTGCTAGCTCACAGTGACCCCCRCAGGGGTCACTGGTCCAGTAAGCCAGTGGAGAGGGACCACCAGAGGTGGGGAGAGACGGGTTTTCCAGAGCCAACCAGTTGTAGGTGGTCATGGAAATTGTCAGGATGCTGATGTGCAGAGAAGGATAAGAGAAGGATGGGATCCCCACCTGCAACACACTTGCAAGGAGCCTGGGCAGAGTCTGGAAACTCACAAGGTACTTGCAGATTTTGGCCACCRCCTGTGGCTGGTTGTCCCAGGGCTTCCGGCTATAAGCTTTTTTTGGCAACTCCCAAGTCATGAAACAAGAACAGCGGAACAGGGTCTTCACACATTTCTGGGATCAAGAGAGAGGGAATACCAAACTATKAAATTCTAAGACACTCCGAACATGTTCCAGGAAAAAAAAAAAAAAGTGTGAAAAGTGGATTTTGGAAAAATCAATTCCTATTTGAAGGGGTACAAGTGAAGTCAGGCATTTTCAGGGAGAATCCTGACATAGACACTTTGGGAAGACAGATGTGGCTGGACATAAATAACCGCCCCCAATGGGTTGTTTGTGGTCCGGGTCTGTTTCCACAAAGGGAGACATAGCTACAGGCCCAGTGCCCCACACGCTCACCTGGCCCACCTTGGTGTTGCCCTCCTGCATGATCAACAGTAGGGGCACCAAGGTATTGATCAGCTGCTCCTCCATGGCCTGAGTGCGGGGTGGCCGAAGTTTCTGGACCACCTTCCCGTATATGTGGATGCAGGAGAGGCGCACATCCTCTCTTGACTGCAGCAGACCCCAGGCTCAGAACGCCCCTCCTCCAGGAGGAGGCTCCATGGCCTTCTTTTCCCTCATTCTGAGGGGCCCTCCAGGCACAAAGACACAGAGACAAAGAACAGCCAGGCCACCCAGTGGGGCTGTCTGGGGCCACTACTCCTCCCGCAAGCCTAGGTCTGGAGTTCTCTTCATTCTTCTCAGCCAGGGCCCTCACTCACTTAAAAGGTGCCTTTGTGCCAAGTGGGGAAATGCCCCCCTCTACCAGGACTGGTTCAAAAAGAAGTATCCCTTTTTTAGGTGAACCAACAGCAATATGATCACCTTCTCTGGTCAGACTTGATTAGCTCCCTCCAGGGGGAACCAATTAGAATAAGGAATCTTCTCTGGATGAACCAATTACAAGAAGATAAGGACCAGTTGAAACAAGGTGCCCCTTCTTCTGGTCTGGAGCCTGACTCAGAACCCAATGGGGTAGGGCCAGCAGGGGAGGATTACAGCCCCCCAAGTTAGTAGGGAACCCCACTCCCTATCCCTCCCTCAACCTGCGAGAATCCTTACATCACTGAAATGTGGAAGTAGGACCTGTAGCATCTCCACATAGACTGAGCTGTCCATCAGTTTCCGGTCCTGCCCCTTGAAGATGGTCTTGAGATTGTGGACCGCCTCTACCACGAGCACCCCATCCACATTCTTCAGGCCCTTCACCATGGACGGCAGGAGGGCCTGCACCTTGGCCGTCTGTGGAACAGAGCCATTTGGGAGAAGGGTTCCTATCTGGGCTAGCAGGTAGGAGACTTGGCCTCTAGTTCACCARTTGCACTTGGTGGCCCAATTCCAATCCCCTGGCCTTTGTGTATTATCTGCCACCTGCCTGAATGCCCTCACTCAAGCTCTTCCCTCTCCCTGAAGCCTTCTTTGGCCTTATTAACTCCTTCCTGGCCTGGATTTCTAGGATCTTTGGGACTAGGTAGGTGACGTCTTGCATTTTCAGTCAGCTTCCTACAGCTAAGCCCTGTCCCTTTGTCCTGGCTACATCCTGAGCTACAACAGTGCAACAGAAAAACAAAGCGCTTTTAAAAATGTCAATAACGGGGGTGGGGTGGTGGGGTGGTAGGGTGGGGGGGGGGTGGGGGGGTGAGCCTGGGGTTGTGGCTCAGCAGTAGAACGCTCGCCTAGCACATGCGAGGTGCTGGGTTTAATCCTCAGCACCAAATTAAAATAAATATTTTCTTTAAAATGAACCCCGGCCTCCCCCAACCATAATGATGATCTGTAAAATAATAATAACTACTGCCATTCCCTTCCCTCCTAGCACCTGCCTTCAGAGTCACTGTGGGAAACCCTGATTAGAAAGTATTCAAAAAGAATATAATACGTAAAGGTTACAAAGGTAGATCCATTGTACAGATGAGACCACTAAGGATGGACAGAAATGGGCTCTGATTCCAGCCATGAGCTGAGATTCGGATGGCTGAGCTCCATACTCCTCCAGCCCAGGGCCAGGCTAGGCTAGGTGTTCCTCTGCCTTCCACTCACCTTCTCAGCCCTACGGGCCAGGATGACCAGGCCTCGGATGGACAACACCTTCATGACAGGGTCAKGGTGGCTCAGGCCTTCCACCATCCGCCCCAGAGAGTACTCCTCAGGGATCCTGCGCACCTGCTCCATCTGGAGGAGCTGAGGARACCAACGGCAATTACTCCCAGGCTGAGGTGAGAGTGGCCCACAGGTCTCCCACACTTGGGGAAAACCAGGCTCAGCTTCCGCCTAGAGCTACAGACTTGGAAAACCAGCAGCTGGCTGGAGACCTCCTCTGCATGTCCTCGACACCTTGTGGCAAAAACGATGTCTCTCCCCAGTTCAGAGCCCTGTGCCTCTCCCTGCCTGTGCCATCCAGCCCCTGCTGGCCCCTGTGGCCTCATTCACACCATGCCCACCCAGCAGCCCACAGCTTCCCACCCAAGCTGCCCACTGTTCCCAGAAGGGCTGGGCTGTCTTGTCCCTTCTGTGCTGGTAGGATGCCCTTCTGCTGGGACGCCCACCTCCTCTCTGACCCCCACCACCTTCCATGGCTCCATCCAAAACTCAACAGCTGGAGCCATGCTGGACCTGAACATCCCAAGGCAGCACCTGGAAACCTTCAGGCCCCTTCTGCCCTGTGTGCCCCTCCTGGCCACCTGGGGGCTTCCTTGGGGGCAAAGATCAAGGCTTCCTCCTTGGGCTGGGTACCTAACCTGAGCTCTGGGGTGAAGTGTGAGACTAGGGAACACCTGCAGCGTGAACTCAGGCCCAACATGAACTCTGGCCCCTTCCTTCCTGAGGACTGCCCTTCCCCTGTCCTCACTGCCCTCCTTCCTCTCCCTTATGCCCTCCCTTCAGTTTCTGYCCTTAGCCTCATGAACACATGTCCCCTTATGCCCATGCCTAATACCTACCACCACTATTAAGATCTGTGTCTGTGAGAAGGGATCACAAGGCACCGGGAGAGCTGTAGGAGAGGGTGGGCGGTTGACCAGAGGGAGGGGACAGGGAAGAGTGGCTGCACCCACCACCCACCCGTCCTTCCACACAGCTTGGCACCAGGTCAGACAGGAGAGGCACAGTGATGTTGGCTGTGCTGACACACAGAAAGCACTTTCTAGGTGCCAGGCTCTGTTCTAAGGACATATGTGAGCACATGTCATCCTCATTGAAATTCAGTGAGGCAGGCAATTCAGTCTTCAAATTGCWGGTGAGGAAACTGAGGCACAGGCAGGCTAAGCAACTCACCCAAGTCACAGAGTTACTTCCCTGAGTTTAACTGCCCTTGGAGCAGCAAGCACACACAAGGACAATCACAGGTAGAGGGCTATGGGGTGCAGGCACAGGCACCTCTGCTGGGGAGGTGGAAAAGCCTGAGCCCACAAGATGACCCTTGCCCCAGAGAGGCAGGGCCAGTGCTCAGGGCTCCTAAGGATTGCTGGGATCAGAAAATCTGGAGTCCCTGACCTTGTAGTGGACCTGGAGACACCCGTGAGGTCTACCAAGTTCCAACCTTCACCCCCTCCCCCAAGAATCTGTGTGTCAGCCACTAGCAGACTTAGAGAGAAGCCCCTCCCAAGAGACTAACCAGGGCAGAATCTCTGCWCTCCCTGGGATGTGTGGCCTTGAAAATGACCCCTGGCCTCCCTCAACCATAAGCACCACAATTATTTGCAAGGTTGTGTGCAGACTAATGGGGTTGAAGTGGCACCGCCTTTCTCCACAGAAATGCCCTCTTCACCATGGCTGATTTTAGGACTGTCAGCAAAAGAGTCTCTGCAAAATAGTTCAATGTAGATAAACTTCCAATTTTCGTGTCGCCCTGTTTACTTGGCCACTGGCCGAGAAGATACCAGCACTCCAGGTGCTGGACACCCACTTACTAGTTTTTCACAAACGTATCCAGTATAGTACTTTGAAGAAATGTGCAAACAAGGCCTCTGGCCTTGAGCTGGGCTTCACAGAGCTGTCTACATTTTTAAGGTAAGTTACCAATGGGCTCCATGGTAACAGCTGGCAGGGGGAGGAAAGAAAGGGAAGCAGAAGCTCTCCCCCCTTCTCAGGTGTTGTCCTTGAAGAGTTTACTTGCGCAGAACAGTGAAAGAAAAAGCTGCTTTCATGTGAACTTCTGCAGACTGTGAATTTCTGAGCCCCTTCCCTTACGTGCTGGGTATAAAACTCTGAAACTCCCTGAACTCAGGGTTCAGGGGATTGATTACAGCAAAATCTGTGCCCTCTGAACCTGGTTGCAGCCAAATAAAACTGTTTCCTGCTATCTTCGGTGCCTTGCCTCGTTTGTCCCTACAACAGGGTGACACGTGAACAAGGCTGCACACAGTAGGCCTGCAAGACATGGTCCCTTCCCTTTCCATCACCAAGTCAGGGAAATCAGATGCATAACTGAGCAGGAGCTGGAGCCCAGGGCTCCTGACTCCAAGGTTTGTCCTCCCTGGAGGTGACACATTCTGCTGATGCCCACAGGGCCTGGCAGTGTTCCTTCGGGCACTCACTTGCCCRTGCAAACCCCACTTTCTGGAGCCCTCCTAGGACGGGCCTGGGGATGGAATGCAAACACAACGTGGCCCCTTCTCCAGACTCACAGTGCACCCAGAGAGGGGAAAGATGCAAGAAGTTCCCCTGCTGCCTTCTGTCCATCTGACAAACTACGCACCTGTCAAGGCCCAAATGTCACCACCTCCAGAAAGCCTTCTTTATCCTTCTTACTATCCAAGCAGACATTGAGCCTCTTGCCTCTGAGCAATAAACCCTTGTAATAGCCAGGACTCCCCTGCATGACAACTGTCAGGTCATAAAAGGCAGACAAGTGTGGTGGCCAGGAGAGTGGACTTTACATTGTCAGTCAACAGATGAAGGGAAAAACAACTTGTGGTGTGTTCATATGATAGCAATCCAAAGGGAGGAGTCCTTCCACATGCCACACCTGGATAAATTGTGAAGACCGCTGCAGGGAGGGAAATGGCAGATACAGAAGGACAAAGTCCCCCCTTGCATGCAGCATCTAGAGTAGGCAAACCCATAGGGAGAGAAAGTAGATTGGAGCCAGGCACAGTGGTGCACGCCTGGAATCCCAGTGGCTCAGGAGGCTGAGGCAGGAGGATTGCAGGTTTGATGCTAGCCTCAACAACTTAGCAAGACTGTAAGCAACCTAGTGAGACCCCAGCTCAAAATAAAACATAAGAAGGGCTGGGGATGTGGCTCAGTGGTTCAGTACACCTGGGTTCAATCCCTGATACCAGAGAGAGAGAGACAGAGAGAGAGAGAGAGAAGAATGGAGGTTCCCAGGGCTGGGGGAGAATAGGAGAGGGAGCTAATGTTTAATGGGTACAGTTTCAGTTGGAGAAGAAAAAAAGTGTTTTGGAGGTGGATGGTGGTGATGAAGGCAGGATGATGACTGTACACTTAAAAGGGCTGAATGGCAGATACTATGTTWTATATATATATATTATCCCAATAAGAATAAGAGAGAGGGAGAAAAGGAAAAAGAAGTGGGGGATTCTGRAACCCAAATGTCTGACTTGGAATTCTGAATTTGCCACTTGGACCCTGGGAAAGGGACAGAAACCTGTGCCTCAGTTTCCTCCTTCATAGTGATCATAGAATTACTGTGAGGATGAACTAGATCAGTAAATGTAAGCTCCTAGCGCATGCCTGGAACATGGTAGCGCTCAACAGACACTAGCAACCACTGCTAAGGACTCTCCCTTTCTGGATCTGTCCCTTCCAGCTTTCCCTGACCTCTCTAGCACCTGCCCCCAGCACCTCCCACCAACTTCCTTCCTCCAGGAAGCCCTTCCTGACTACCTCCTCCCTCGAGTCTCCTCTTCTCCCACCACAGCCTGGACTCCTCATCTTCAAACAAGTCGCACTATGCCCCCCAGGTTAATATCTGAGTGTCCTTTGTCTCCCAGATGCACCAAGATGCATGTGATGATGATCCTCACCATCACCCTTCAAGGCAGTTGCTGTGGGAGGCCAGGTGGGATCAAGTTTATATCAGCATCTCGATGCCTGGCAGCCAGGGTTGGTGGTTGCCTGGGGCAGTGGGGGAGTGTGGGGAGTGTGAGGAGGGGGCAAGCAAGGGAGGGAGAYGGGTAGGGTCTTCATATTCTGAGAAATCATGCCCCCTAGAAAGGCTTTGGATGCTCTAAGGCACTGTTTGCACAGGAGAAATAAYCACTGTTGTCACCTGAGGCCCGGGACAACCCCACCCCATGCCCCGGTCCCAGTTGGTACCTCCACGAAGAAGGCCGTGGCGGTGATCTTGTGTTTCTCGTCGCCTCGCTCCAGGAGCGGGATGAGCAGGTAGAGGATGCGGCACAGCTCCTGGCAGGAGTAGTGCACCATGGCCCTGGAGGGGGGACAGTCCCTTCAGGCTCTCCTGCCTCAGGGGACATGCCGGAGTTCGACCATGGCACTGGAAATCCCCCAAGCCAGGGTCATCTGGGTTCCTGTGTTCCCAGGCCCTCTCCCCAGTGGGATCTCTGAGGCAACTAGTTTAACTCCTCCATTTTACAGGGGGGGGGGGGAACTAAGGCCCGGAGTGAAGGCAGTGTGCCTGAGGGCACAGAGCCAGTCAGTAAGAGACAAGCTGAAGACCCCGGCTGCACAGGGCCACACCAGGAGGGAGGGATAGGAAGGAGGGGAAGTGAGGGTCCTTTCACTAAGCGCCATGTGGCAGCCAAACCCTTTGACCTTGCTACTTGATTTGATCCTCACCATCACCTTCAAGGCAGTTGCTGTTATTATCCCCATTTCACAGCTTCGGCTGCTCAAGGCCACAGCGCTGGAAGGCAGCAGAGCTGAAGCCCCAACCCAGGGCTCCCCCATTCCTGCTGCCTGGCTCACTCTAAGCTAGAGGTGCTCAAAGTGCCCCCTCCACCCACCACCCAGCATCAGCACCACCTGAGAATCTGTTAGAAATGCACATTCTCAGGTCCTAGTCCAGATCTCCCAAAGCAGGAACTCAGGGCAGTGGGTAGAAGGCTCTGGAGATGGTCCCAATGCATGCTCAAGTATGAGGCCCATGCACGATGCTCCAAAAATCAGCAAATCAAGACAATGTGGCAGGCAGGAAACAGGGACAGTAGTGAGATGGCCTGGGTTCAAATTCTGGCCCTAGCACTAGCTGTGTGATTTGAAGCAGTCACTTAACTTCTCTGGGTTTCAGCATACTCCCATGTAACCCTGGGATAGTAATAATGTAATTCCAATGGTCATGGTGAGAGAACTAAATGAGATCACCCATGTAACCACTCTCCACAAGGTGTTTAAAACATAGTTGGTGCTCAGTAAATGTAGTTGTGCCTCAAGACCCTGGGGAGGGTGCCCTCCTGAGCACTCTGGGATATGTTCTCCTACAGGAGACACATCACAGAAATCAAGGTGCCCCCCTGACCCACAGGAAGTTGTGTGGATTTGAGAGGAGAGCTCTGGTCAGGACCAGTGGGTCACATATGGCTGTGTGATCCTGGGCACATGACTGCCCTCTGGAGCTAGGCATGTTCCTATGCAAAATGTGTATTAATGCCTGTCCCAGGCACCAGGATGGAAGCAAAAGCTAATCTGTGCTGAGCTTACCACATGGCAGGAGCTCTTCAAAATACCTTATTTAGGGCTGGGGTTGTGGCTCAGCGGTAGARCGCTCACCTAACATGGGGGCAGTGCTGGGTTCGATCCTCAGCACCACATATAAATAAATTAATTAATTAAAGGTATTGTGTCCAACTATAACTAAAAAAAAAAAAAAAAAAAAAAAAAAAAAAGCTTATTTAATCCTCACTCCACTCTCAGAAGTGGGTCTTACTATTTCCATACTACCAAGGGGGAATGGAGACACAGAGGGACAGTCATTGGCCCCTGGTCATACAGCAGGGAAGGGGCTCGGCGTCAGATGCAGGCAGACTGTCTCCATGGCCCCTCCCGGATGCTCTGACACCATTACTTCCACCGCATTGGTGTGGGAACCAAACTCCTATGAAAAGGTGCTTGGTAAATAACCCACGGGCTCTAGAACTGCCAGGGGCCACTATGTCCACAGTTACTTCCCTGAATAAGTGCCAGGTGTCCGTGTCGTCCACCTGACAAGGAGGACAGTAGCCCCTCGCAGAGACGAGTTGACAAAGGGAGCAATGAGTCTTGCTCAGAGAGATGGGAACCCAAGTCTGTCTGAAGATATGAGGGTTCCACCCACCCCTGCCCGAGGTGTCCCCAGGGCTCACCTTGCCAGCAGAGACACTCCGCGATGGTGGTTCTCCGCCTGCCCCATGAGCTCCCAGCCACCCTGGTCCTCCAGGGAGGCGGCCTCGTAAGAGCAGCCCATCTTCAGCAGCAGGGTTTTCACCACTTTCACCACCCAGCTGCCAAGACAAGGGGACCGAGTGCTCAGTCACCCCGTTCTAGCAGGCCAGGCCTCCCCCAGCCCTCCACTTTCCCACCATCAGCTGCCGCCAGCCCCACAAGCTTCTCCCCCATGTCGTTAGAGGTAAGCAATGTATCTGCAAAGGGAGGCTCGTAAAATATTTAGCTTGGAGAACAAGAGAGCAAACAGAAGCAAATCTCCCTCCCTGGGAAGATGGGGTGTTCACCCTCCCTCTTCCCCCAAGCCTCATGCATTGCAGGAAGAGGCTGAGCAGGCTCTCCCCAGCCACCTGGTTCTCTCTCCTCCACTCCTCATCAAGCCCATGGCTGGGTGGGCTCCTGGCAGGTCAGTCCTCTCTGCTCACTTGGACACTCAGTTTCCTGTCCAGGACAGAGTCCTTTTCTCCCTTGGGACATTTAAGAAATGATTCCCTGCTGGGCAGAGTGTCGCATGCCTATAATCCCAGTGGCTTGGGAGGCTGAGGCAGGACAGTCACAAGTTCAAAACCAGCCTCAGCAACTTAGAGTGGCTCTAAGCAACTTAGCGAAACCCTATCTCAAAAAATAAAAAGGGTTATGGATGTGCRCTCTGGACTCAATCCCTGTTACTAAGAAAATAAAAAGAACAATCAGGGTGCCCAGCAGAGTCCCCTGGGAACCTTTTACACCCCGGGGCACTGACCAGGCCTCTGCACTCTTGGGCTCCTGAGTAAGCTCAAGGAGCTTTGGTGGGGGGGCATTTATTGAGATCCTACCGTATGCCTGGCATTGCACGGTGCTGTAGTTGTTCTTATACCGTCAGTCATAGCTTAACTACAGGATATATTCTGAGAAATGCTTTGTGGGCTGACCTTGTCCTTGTGCAAACATCACAGGGGTGCTTATGCAAACCTCAATGGTCTAGTCTACTCCACACCTGGCCTCCACCATAATCCTAGGGGACCTCCAAGGTGTACTCACCATTGAGCAAAACCTTGTTATGAGGCACAGGACAGCATACACAAACTTTTACTAAGATAAAAACTGACATGAATGGATAAAGTTTAAGTTTATATATAGTTTTCCAAAACATACACATGTGCTTGAAGGGTTCACCATGCACTGATCTGAGGAGCTCAGGAGACACAACACTGCTAGTTCTTGTGATTCACAACAAATCCTGTCAGAAATCAGGAGAGCTTCATCCTTAGGAATTTGCTTTTATTTCTATGTTTACTTTTCAGTACAGGGTTGGGACAGGGATGCTCTTCCATGTGCTACACCCCCAGCCCTCTTTTTTATTTTATGAAACAGGGTCTCACTAAATTGCAAGCTGGCCTCAAACTTGTGATCCTCCTGTCTCATGCCTCCCAAGTACCTAGGATTACAGGTGTGCACCACCTCATCTGTTTCCTTCCTTCCTTCCTTCCTTCCTTCCTTCCTTCCTTCCTTCCTTCCTCTCTCTCTCTCTCTCTCTCTCTCTCTCTCTCTCTCTCTCTCTCTCTCTTTCTTTCTTTCTTGGTACCAGGGATTGAACCCACGGGTCCTTAACCACCAAGCCACATCTCCAGCCCTTTTTAATATTTTTTTAGAGACAGGGCTTTGCTAAGTTGCTGAGGCTGGCTTTGAACTCATGATCCTCCTGTCTCAGCCTCCTGAATTGCTGGGATTACAGGTGTGCACCCCTGCACCTGACTTGTTTCTACTATATTTTAAATGTAGAGCAATCCCGTGTGAAAAAGAGAGCTCCAGCTGAGGCCAGGGCCTTTGGAATCGGAATCATGGAGGCTTTGTGCTGGTTCTTTGGAACCTGTGCTGTCAGGAGCATCTTCTAGCAGCCATGGAGGGAGTAGGAGCGTGTGGGGGAGGCCTTTTCTAATACTAGCCTCTCTGCCCTTCTTCCTCCCCCAGGAACCCCTTGTGCTGGTGGAGTGGCTGAGCTGGGCTGTTTAGGTTTGCATTCAGAGGACAAAATTGGTTTTTCTCTTCAAGTTAGGGCATTAGCGCCTTCTGCTAAGGCAGATTAGTGTTCCCCCTGCTACTGCAGCGGCCTTCCCTCCTGGGTGGCCCCATTTGCAGGGCAGCTTTGGTCACCTCCCCAGCAATGRTCCAGGGAACTGCACTGAGCTCAGTGCATCCAGACAGCTGCAGCTGGGCCTGCCCTCTTGGCCTTCCCTCACACAGCAGGACGAGTATATGTTTAGGCCAAAGCTTCTGGACATAGAATTAATTCCTAGTGTGTCCTCTGCAGTGTTTCTTATTTCCTCAATCTGGCCCTACATTTTGACAAAAGTGACCCTACCCATCTCCCTTCCTCTTCACCCCAGTCCCAAAGATTTGCTTGTAACATCCCCAAATGACACCATGCCACCATGCAGAGTTGAACCAGGCACCATGGCACACACCTGTAATCCCAGCAGTCTGGGAGGCTGAGGCATGAGGATTGAGAGTTTAAAGTCAGCCTCAGCAATTTAATAAGACCCTAAGCAACTTAGTGAGATCTTGTCTCRAAATAAAACATAAAAAGGACTCGGGATGTGGCTCAGTGGTTAAGCGCCCCTGGGTTTAATCCCTGATACAAAATATATAAATTTCTGAATGGCAAAACACAATAAAATAATTTCAGATCAAGTTAAAAACTAGAATACAAAGGACAAAAAGTTAATTTCTTTAATATATAAGGAGCTCTTACAAATTAATAAGAAAAAATCCTCAACAGGCCAGGCACAATGGCATACACCTGTAAACCCAGCAACTTGGGAAACTGAGGCAGGAAAATCACAAATCTGAGGGCAGCCTCAGCAACTTAGGCCCTAAGCAACTTAGCAAGATCCTGTGACAAAAAACAAAAAGGACTGGGGCTGTGGCTCAGTGGTTAAGCACCCTGGGTTCCATCCCTCATGACAAAAATAATAATAATGAGACAGTTCTGTGTGTGATGAGATCTAAGATATGGCATAAGATAGGAGCAAAAATGGGTACCTGTGTGAGGTCTTTTTTTTTAAATCCATGTGCATATACTACTTATTCCAATAAATAATTAAAAATTAAACTGGTTGAGCCTTACACATGCACCTAATACAAATAATGTCTCTAGGGAGAGAGGGAGAAAATTCAATGGTGAGCTTCTGGGGGAGGAGGACAGCTTCCTGTGCTCCTGTGCTAAGCACTGCTGGGCACAGAGAGCAGTTGCTCAAAAACAGCTGCTGGATGAAGTATTAACTCTAATAAAAGTGTGCTTCTGGGGCTGGGGTTGTGGCTCAGTGGTGGAGCACTTGCTTAGCATGTAGGAGGCACGAGAGCTAGAACTTGAACCCAGGGAGAGCCTGGTTCCCACTCCAGACCTCAGCACCACGTAAAAATAAATAAATAAAATAAAGGTATAAAAAAAATACAATATCATTATTAAAAAAAAAAAAGTGTGCTTCTGCTTTCTCGTCTAATCCCAGAGCTTTCCATTGATGGACTGCCCTGAAGCCTTGTGGAGGGTCTTGCTGTCCCCCCAGGGACAGCGGGATCAAGAGAGATGGCAGAACATACTGCACAGGTACGAAGGCAGGCGGCTGTGCGTTGGTCTTGGCATCCTTGCGAGGAGCCACGCGGCCGGGCAGGTTGAGGCCGATGTGGTAATGCACCTGAATGAGCAGGGCCAGCAGCAGCTGCGGGTAGATGCGCCTCACGCGGCAGACACAACTGTTGACGGACAGCAGCTCACACAGGCCGCTGGCTGCCTGGGGGAGGAGTGGGAGCTGGTGGCATGAGAAGGCATCTTCCCTGCACTCCTGCCTAAGGCCTGGACTTCTGCTCTGGGAGGCTGGACCTGGGTCTTTGCTCTTCCCTGGCCCAGCCAGGGAGAGCCTGGGTCCCACCCCAGACCTCTAGCCAGGTCCCATCCCAGAGTAAGAACAGCCTGTCTTTAGGTTTGGTCCAGGGTTATGATGTCATGTGACCTGGGAAGATTCATGGTAAGGGATCCCTTCCTACTTCCTGAGAATTAAAACAGTCTTGATCCCATTTTGCAGTTGAAGAGAACTGGCGCAGAGGAATGAAGCAGCTGCCCAAAGTCACCCAGCCCCTTAGGGGCAGAGCTGGAACTTGAACTCAGGTTTTCAGATACCAGCTGTAGCATTCCCTGCCTCTTCCTCACTCACAACACAGGTGCCCAGAACTGAGCAGAGATCTGGGCTTGGGTCCTGGTGCCACCACTGGCTAGCTGTGTAACCTTGGGCAAGGCACAGGCTGTCTCTGAGAAGGTCTTGCTGCTGAATCCCCAGAACTTATCAGTGTGCCTGGCACTAAGTAGGTGCTAACAAATACCTATTAAATAAACAAATCAGCCCCCCAAAAATAGTTGGGTACCTACTATGTGCCTGGTGTGTTTGCCATTGGGGATATCATTGTGAGCCAAATAGGACAGGCACTGGCTTGTGCACCTCACAAATTAACCCAATGGCCGCCCGCACACTATTACCAAATCACAACTAGGATAAATTCTCCCAAGATAAAGTATGTGAAGCAAAGTATACTATGCCCAGATCAGAGCAAGTCAGGGAGAACAGGGAGGCTTCCCCAAGGAGGTGATGCTTGCATTGAGAGCTGAGGGATAAGCAGAGGTTAGCTTGGTGGAAGGCATTCCAAGGAGTGGACACAGGGTGGGCAAAGGCCCTGTTGCAGAAGACTGCTGGATGTTTAGAGTTCTGACAAACACCAGTGAGGTTGCACTAGAGCAAGCAAGAGGCCTGTGGAGGGAGGCAAGGTGGGCAAGGGGTACCAGGTAGGAGCACCATGGCGTTCCCCGGGGGAACAGGAAGCCAAAGCAGGGGCTGAGAAGAGCAGGTGTGCATTCTGGAAGATGCTTTGGTAGGAATCATAGGGACAGGAGTGGAAGCAGGAGGGTGAGCAGGTGGTGAACCAGGTAAAGGTTAAAGGTGAGAGAGGCAAAGAGAACCCCATCACCAAGAAGGGCGAGGCCTCCATCGCGCCCTGGCTGGTGAGGACCCAGCCCCCCTCCAGCTCATGCTGTTCCCACTGCTGCAGGCTGCTATCCCCACAGGTGGCACCACTGTGTCATCCAGTGGATCACAACCAAGAGCCCAGAGTCAGGGACTTGCCCAGGGAAGGCCAAGTATCACTGGCAGGTGGGGCCCGGAGCCCTTTAAGCTGAACACAGCGGGAGGGAAGAAGGGAGGGAGGGAGAACAGAATGGTGGGGCTGGTGGGCTGCGTCCTCACCGCCAGGGGCACAATGGAGGCCCGGCCCTTCTTGGTGACTGGCTTTTCCTTCAAGCTGGTCAGGAGCAGATCCAGGAGGTCTCGGACATCACAGCTGGGCTTGCGCAGTATCAACTGCCTCCACATCTCTGCTCCATTACTGAGGTGGGGGAGGGGGAAGGTTAGGGGATGCCAGCAAGGAATGGTCCAGAAAACACTCTCTAAGGGAAAGGAGGCTCATGGTGATTGAAAACCCTGTTCCCAGAGACCACGCCAGGTTCTTTATATTCAATTTACTATTTCAGCAAATATTTATTGAGCATGTGCTGCACTAGGCAAATCTCTAGGGCTATAGAAGCAAAAAAGAATCGGATCCATGCAGGGTAACTGAATTTTCACAATGACCCTCAAAGCAGGCATTGTTATTCCCATTTGATAGAAGCAGAAGAGAGGCTCAGAGAGGCGAGATTGCTAATCCAAGAAGATACAGCTAATGAGCTACAGAAGCAAGGAGTGACCAGATCTGATGTCTCCAAAGCCGGCTCTCCTCCCTTCACACCAATGAGCAGGAACCAAGGCAAGGGAACCCTTATCACCTAATACCAGGGAGCATGTCTCCTGCCCCTGGGCAGGCAGTTCCCCAGGCAGGGGAAACCCCTGAATGCAGCAGAAACCAGCCCACAGAAGTCCTGCCATGGGAAGTTGACAGAGTGCTAAAGGGTTAACAAAAACCCTTTCCCCCTCTACATGAGCATCTGAACCTTCCCTTCACTCTCTAGCTCTGTTCCCCTGGAAACCTGATAAAGATAGTATGTCAACTGTGTTGCTAGGCAACATTACTTATGGTAAAAATGGTCTTTATGACCACTTGGTAAATTGCTTTTGGACTGAAACTATCAATTAGCAATAAGAACTGATGGGGATGATGGGGACGCTGCCAGGAGCAGTGACTCTTTAATGGGATTGTCCCTGTGGGGTCCCCAAAAGTGAAGCCTCTAGAGTTGATGTAAGAGACTCTGGTCCCTGTGGTTCCATTTCAGCCAGGGTGTTCCCCATGGGTCTCCTYTCCTCAAACCTGAGCTTTACCTGGGAGGCCCAAGAGACCATTTCCCAGACCCAAGCATCCAGGGCACAAAACTCAAGGAGGTCCCCACTCTAGAACTCATGCAAGTAAGGCTTAGCACCTGCGGAGGGCCTCCTTCAACACCGTGCCTAGATGCTTGGCCTGCCTCTGCCTTGTCCTCTATCCTGACTGACTCTGCTATCACATGTGATCCCTGGAAGTCATATCAATCAGTCTATTTAGGGGTCCCAAGAAGAAGGCCCCTGGTATACAGTGCATCTGAAAGAAGCTGGATCATTCTATTCTCTTTTTTTAATATTTATTTTTAAGTTTTAGGTGGACACAGCATCATTATTTTATTTTTATGTGGTGCTGAGAATCAAACCCAGTGCCTCACGCATGCTAGGTGAGCGYGCTACCACATCCCCAGCCCCGAGCTGGATCATTCTAATGGGAGGATGTGTGGCTGGGTCCTCACTACCCCTGCTGATCTCCTTGGCTTCTGCAAACGATCCCAGCTGTCCTTATTAGAGCATACCCTAAAATGCTGTTTGCACAGCTCTGCATAATTCTTTCACATTTACTCAGAAAAAAAAATCATCCTAGGGTTTTGATCAGCCACTGCCTTGTTTTATTTATTCAAAGACATGGTGGGAGCATTTCCTGGGCTGAGAGGTCAAGGTCAGCCAGACTGGTCACCATCTGGCCACCATCCCCTCTGTCCATCAAACCAGGAGCTCCCTGGAGGCAGTGAACATGGGGCATCTCCCTGCACAGCTACAGGCCCAGCAGGTGCTCAGCCCAGCTGGTCTCATTACTTCATCACACCACCCACCTCAGGTGTAAATATAGGGATCAATTCCTCCTTTTGCTTCTGGGGGGAAAACTGAAGCCCAGAGAAGGCAAGCAGCCTGCCCTAGACCACCAGCTGCTGGAGGTAGAATCAGGACATGCAGGCCTCCTTCTTATGACACCATTAAGAGCTCTGGGCTTAGAGTCAGTCAGACCCAAGTTTAGGTCCTCCTTCTATTGATGGCTCAGTGGGCTCCTAGAGCAAGAAACTTCCCCTGAGTCTCAATTTCCTCATCTGTAGAATGGAGCTTTTTTGAGAACAAGAGAATGTACTGGCACTCAGCATGACACCCAGCAGTGCTCAGGAAACGATTAATGGTTATCTAAGTACCACAGGTCATGGGCAGGGGCCATCTGGGAGGGTGAGGGGCTTCTCTAGAAGGGGGGTTCCAGCCTGGGGGGGGAGCTACTTTGTCYCTCTGAGGTATAGTGGCTGAGAACCCGCCCCCAATTGGTACCTGTCTAGCGGGAGGGGACACATGAGCAGGGCCACCACAACCTCCGTCATGAAGGAGCTGGCCAGGAGGGAGACGGGCAGCAGGGCCACCTCACGGGCCCGAGGTTCCTGGATGTGGCTCAGCTGCATATAGATGCCCTGCATGATTTCTGGGATCTGGGGTACAGCCATGAGCAGGCAGGACGAAGGTCCATCAGAAAAACCAAGAAGGCACAGGGCGGGGGGCGGGGGGCGGGGGAGCGGGAGGGGAGGAGGAAAGAAAATGGAGACAGGAGACAGCAACAGGGCAGGGGTGAGAGGGGACAGGAAGGAAAGAGGAGAGCAGCACGGGAGAGAAGAGGGGGCTGCGTCCCACCTCCGCACCTCACCCCGCCAGGTGAGCCGGCTTCTCTGAGGGTGGTAAGCCACCCCCTGCCCTGCCCCAGTGCTGGGGGGTTCCACCACCTCCCACCCTGCTCAGTCAGGCTGTGCCAAGGGATGAGCAGGCCGAAGGGACAGGGGAGTCCCCCAGGCCCCAGTGGCCACCCGCCTCTGCCCCCGGGAGGCCTTACCACCTCCAGCGCCCTGTGGCGGTACCACTCCAGCACTGAGCTGAGCGTGACCTCAGAGGCCAGCTGCATCATCTCCCCGGAGTCTTTCCCCCGAGCCTCTGAGCCGCCTTTCAGCCCTTCCAGGGCTGCCAGCAACAGGTCCTTTACCTGCTGGGGCCCCAGGAAGTCTCCAAATTCCTGAAGCAAAGGTGCAGAGAGAGCTCCAGACCTTGAAGYGTAGAGCCAGAGCCATACAGAGGCTCAAAGACCACCTGACCYGCTACAGAGGGCTTGCCGCCTTCATCAGCAAGGGCTGAACCCTCTGGGGAAGAGCTACAAAAGTCGGGGTACATGGGCCCTGCACTCAGGCTAGGTGTCAGGGAGAGGGAAGTTGTGGCATGGGCTGGGGGAGGGGCATTCAAGTGGGCTGCTGTGGCTGGAGCTATGGGGAAGTTGAGCTGGCACTTGGGGCTGTGGCACTGTCCTCCTCCCCTCCCTCCCATGGGAGGCGCGGGCTGAGGGGCAGCAGTCACCGCGATCACACGCAGGATGTTCTGGCACGGGCTGACAGGGTTGTAGGGCCCCAGGAAGCGCTTGTTGCTCTCGTACAGCTCCTTCTTGTTGGTCTCTTCCTTATCTCTGGCTCCTGCAAGAGAAGAACCTTCCAGGTGAGGCCTGACCAGRCTATTGCTCTTAACTTTTTATTAAAAGCCACAGAAAGGGGTTGGGATTGTGGCTCAGTGGTAGAGCTCTCGTCTAGCATGTGCGAGGCCCTGGGTTTGATCCTCAGCACCACATAAAAATAAATAAACAAAATAAAGGTATTGTGTCCAACTACTTCTTTAAAAAAGAAAGAAAGAAAGAAAAAAAAGCCACTGAAGGAAGGACCCAAATCCTGCATAAGCAGCTTAATTATTTCCACATAGTGAGCACACCCAGRTAGGGTAGCTGGCACCCAGGTCAAGAAGCAGAACACAATCAGCATCCCAGAGGCCGTCTTGTGTACCCCTCTCAGGGTTACCCCTTGCTCCCCACAGGGCARCCATTCCTGACCCCCTACCTGGAGTTCCTGGCTTTGAACTTCATAAATGGACTCATGTGGTGTGTGACACTGGGCTGGTTTCTACATATACTCTTTTTTTCCTCCCCCAATACAGAGGTTTGAACTCAGGGRGTGCGTTACCACTGAGCTATACCCCTAGTCTTCTTTATTTTGAGACAGGGTCCCACTAAGTTGCTCAGCCTGGCCCCAAGCTTGATATCTTCCTATATCAGCCTCCCTGGGATTACAAATATGCACCATCATGCCCAGCTCTTAGGAAAGACCTCAAAAGCTTGTAGATTTTATTTTACTGTAATCTTTTTACAGATAAGGAAATCTAAGCCTAGACAAGCAAAACAGCTAGGAAGGGCCAGAGGTCCTTGTAGGCGATGACACTCTTTCAGAGCCAGAGGTCACCTGGACTGGGACAGAGTGGGACTTTAGAGAAAAAAAGACAAGAGATGGGGCTTGTACAGTGCATGCCACATCACTAGCTCCCTGAAATTGAGTCGCCCCTAGTTTCTTCCACCAACAGGCTCCAGCCACTCCAGATCCTAAAAGAGGATCTGCTCTTTGTTAGTTCCTTCAACAAATACTCACTAAGCACCCACCATGTGGCCTTGGGCACACAGTGATGACTAAGATACAATCCTGCCCTAGTCGCATGGGGTTACATTTGAGTGGGGAAGACAGACAAGAAAACAACATGTTGGGACCATCTTGCCTGAGTGTACAAGATACTGTAGRGACATGAAAATGACTGTCACAAATTAAGCACAGAAGGACGAGGAAAAGCTTAGAAAGGATTATTTACATCAAAAATAGTTTGTCTGTAGGTAGCCTCTGTCCCCTGGTTCTGTGGGAACTAGGGCTTCACACCAGCTTCCACAGTGGCCATCTATCTGACCCCGGGCTGGTCTTCCCATCTCCCACCAGGGCCTCACTGCCTGTCTCCAGCCAAAGACCAGCTGAGTGGCCTCCCAGGAGACCTGCACTGGGGGCTCCGACAGGGCTTACGTTTCTGGAGCTCCAGGATAGTGTAGAGGATGGTGATGCCGTCCAGCGCCTCCCGGCCAATCTCCTCGTCAGGATCCCCGATACGAAGGATGAGCCTCCCCAGTAGGAGCCCCAGTGCAGGGAACCCCGAGGACATCTGTTGGTGTCGTAATCACAGGGGCGGAGTCTCACAGGTTCAGTATACTACACAGAAACTGGTGAACAGAGCTGGGCCGCCCGGCCCTGACAGCAGAGCCCTCAGAGCTGGGAAAAGTCTCCCTAGGAGTGTCCACCCCTCCCGGCCACACTCACGAAGAAAGGCAGAGTCAGGAGTGTGTGGTTCAACACGGAGACGTTGCTGTTCACAGCTCGTGCTCGCTCGTGGGCCTTCCCAGAGTTCATCCAGGGCCCTAGGGGCTGTGGGGGACCAGGGCAAGACTCAGCTAAGGTCAGATGCCAGCCCCTGCTGCTGGGCAGACAGGCCAGCCTGCACCATCTGCAGGAGCTTCAGAGAGGGCACAGAGGCAGCTCACCAGGCCYTCCTCCTCTTGTGGGGCTTAGGGAGAAATGGGGTCCAGGAGCTGAGAATAGGACTCACTGACCAGAGCAAAGGAGGTCAATGAGGAGAGAGATGAAAGGAGGAGAGTCACGAGAGCAGAAAGAGACAGGGACAGATAGAGAGAGGGAAGCTATGGAGCAATCGCAGGAGCTGTATGGGGTGGCTCTACATAGAGTGGGGGGTGGGGAGAGAGTAAGCGGTGGCAGGAGTCCGGACAGGGCCTGTGAGTAGCACCGGGAGGCAGAACRCTGGCCCAAAATGACATCCTGAGGTCAGATCACTCCTTCTGGTCCAGCCTCCCGCTGCTCAGACCTGACTCCCTGCTTCCCTCTGCCCTTCCCTGCTCCCTCCCCAGCCCCACTCCCTGCACCTCCAAGATGCTCTTCAGTCCAGCAGGAGTGGGGTCTTCAATAAAGAGGGCATTAAGCAATGTCTGTAGAGCATCCAAGGTCTGATGGTAAAGTGTCTGTGGACAGGAGGGGACCCAGTTGCTAGGGGTTAGCACCCTCTCTGGTGGCAGAGAAGAGGGGGCAGTAGGGCCCATGAGAACCTCTTTCTGGCCCCACTTCTGAGACTCGCCTGATGTGTGATATTGGACAAATCACTCTCCCTTCATGGGTTCCAGTCTCCTTACCAACAAAGTGGTAATTATGATCCTTGCACTTCCTACCTTAAAGGGGGAGAAAGCAGAGAACCAGCATTTATTGAGACTCTGCCATGGGCCAGGTGAGTGCCTGGTGATTTGCATATCCACATCCTCAAATTGAGGAGACACTTGTCCAAAGTCACACAACAAGGAACTGTCAGGTAGTGAGGAAGGAATGAGGGCCAGCCTTACTTTCATTATCTCTGCTCTGATTAAGACCCAAATGGAGTCTCCAAGTTGCCTTAAAGGAGCCGTCTCTCCCTTGGCTCACCATGCAGCAATGCTGGAATTGTTCTATGGCTGCAGCAACCACACACACATAATGCAAAGCAGTGGGTTTGTATCACTTTGGGGAAGGCCCTCCTTTCCTTGCCTCCCCTCCTCCTGCTGGCTCCCCAAGTATATCTCCCAGGTTGTCACAGTCCAGGCTTCTTGAGTCTGCACACACCCTGGAGCTAGTGGCCCTTTGAGGTACACTACAACCACCAAGCAAACTTCACTGCCAACTACCTCCTTCTTCCCTCCCATCTGCTGCTGATTACTGTGCAGAACTTCCCTCTCCTGGCCAGACCTGGTACTGCAACAGGGCCGCCTGCTCTTCCCAGCCTGTAAATGATGCCTTGCCTGGCCTTCTGGTCTTCTCTGAGGGCCCCAGCTCCACACCCAGAGCCCTCCAGCTGTGTGCATGGGCTGGCTTCCCCTGCTCTCTAGCCTGGCCTCCTTGAACTTTTGTTTCCAGCCACACTGCCTGCTTGTGGTCCCTGCAGTCACTATGCGGTCTGTCCACAGGCTTCTGCACAGGCTGCTCCCTCTGCCTGAAATACCCTCCCTTCTGCCCCCTCCTTCAGTTCTTAGTTCTCTTTAACCTCAGCTCCAGAATCACGACCCCGACCCTCTCTGGGCCATGTCTCCCATTTTAGGCTCTTTACAGCACCAAGACTTTCTTGTGTGTCGCACTGCCTGCTGGCTGCGATTTTACATTTCTTTGAGTGAACCTCTGATAATGTTCCTCCACCCCGAGCACTACTGTGAGGTCCCCACACTGAGCCGGGAGTGGAGAGGTACTGGCTAAGCCAGAGGATGGGTGAACACGCTTCACCCTGAGCTGGAATCCCTCTTCCTCAACCTTCCCCCCAACCTGGCTCCCCACTCATCCTGGACTGAAGGTCACTTCCACCACTTCTCCCGCGATGACATCACAGAAGTTCAAAGATGCTCAAATGAGCCCCTTGAGATTCTGCTCCTCTAGGTGTCTGCTCCAGTTCCCCAATCTTGCTTCCTTATGGCTCAGTCCTCAGCACCTTCCCCCCAACCCTGGCCACCTCCTCCAGCCATACCAATATCTGCCCACTTCCCTCTCTCAGGGCAGGGCCCAGAAGTGACGGGCCCCCAGATGAAGAGGCAGCTTTTGCAGTGATTTTATTTACACACCAAATTTATAAAATGCCAGCTCAGGCCAAGAGAGGTGAGGTGAGTGACCCAGGCCACATGACTAAGGCATAGGGAGAGGCTCCTACCTACTCCCAGAACCTGGTCCTTTCTCTTGCCCACTAGGTGTCCAGAGACACAGCTCACTCCAAGGCCCCCCGATAGCCCTGGGGACACACCTGGGAAGGAGGGCAGGCACCTCACCTGGATRTCCTCTGCTTTGGCCTCGTCTCTCTCCTGCATGGCCTGCACGGAGGGCAGTGAGAACACACTCCGCACACACGCGTTCACCAGCTCTGCCCTCTCCCGCACACCCAGGATGGGCTGGGTGTGGCTGGGAGGAAAAAGGAAGTGAGGCATGGAAGAGGGAGGGGCTGCAGGTGCGGGGCAGGGGTGAGGGCCCCTGGCACAGGCCTGGATGCTGAGGTCTGAGCCACAGGAGGACGAGATGAGGTGGCACCAGGAGAGTGGGTGTGGAGGGCTGACAGCCAGGCAAGGACTGGGCCAGGGAGAGGGGAGGCTCGGAGCAGGGAGGGGCTCAGGGAAGGGCCCAGGAGAGACAGGCAGAGCCCAGAGGTAGGGTGTGGACACCTCAGTTGGGTCAGGGTCTCCATGGCCTGCCGGCGGACGGAGCTTGAAAGGGAATCCAGCGGCTCATCCTGGATCTGCCTCTGGACAGGGACCACAGAGGGCCAATGAGGACACCTGGTTACAGACCACCAAAGCCAATGCCACCCCTCCTCAAGGAAGCAGGTGCAACAGCCCTTCAGCCTGGGCAGAGTCCCCTACCAGCGGGGTCCAGAGAGCCAGCTCACTGCTCAAACTCTATCCTGAAACTTCAGTTCAAAATCCCAAACACCCCCAGCCCTCACCTGCTGCACCCCACATGGAGAACTCGGTAAAACTGTTCCTGCAGCAGCTTAGTGACAGAAAACTATTTTACTCACAGACCTGCCCAAGCAAAAAACACTACTCATGGCCCTGAAAGCTGCCTGGTTGGATTCCTCTAAAAGGACCTTCTACTTTTCACTTTTGATCTAGCACCTATATACAGTAGATGCTCAATGAATGTGTGTTAAATGAAAGTGTACTGGGGATTGAACCCAGGGCCTCACACATGCTAAGCAATCACATGACCCCTGAGCTACATCCTAGTCTCCTCTCTCTCTCTCTCTCTCTCTCTCTCTCTCTCTCTCTCTCTCTCTCTTCTCTCTCTCTGGTACACAAAGCCAAATATAATTTTATAAACTTCAGTTATTAACCTTGCCCAACTCATTCTGGTGGATAACAGAGAAGAGACTGCATTCAGCAATCCTGAAGTTGCCCACCAGGAGGAATTTCTGGGGAAAGAATGATTCAGTGATAAYCATTTCCCATGCACAAGGCTCTGCAGGGAAAGCCCACTGGACTGTTCTCCCAGAGACACAGGCATTGTGACCCCAACGGCAAAATGAGGAGAGTTGGCTCAGAGAAGAAAAATAACCTGCCCAGGCTCCCTCAGGGTAGGTGGAGGGCAAGTAGAAAGGGAGCCAAGGCTCAAGTCTAGGTGACCTGTCCTTCATCCTATCTTCCTCCCACCTCCCACCCACCCTCGCCCAGTCTCATGAATGGGTGGGCTCGGGAATTCCACCCCTTCCCACCCAGTGCCGCACACCGCTGTGGCCCCCCTCGCACCATCATCTTCTTCATCATGGACTTCTTCTTTCCTTCCCCTTCCAGCAGGTCCTGGCCCTTCTGGACATCCTTGACATTCTCAGCCTTGGAACAGAACCACAGGGGAAGCCCTACTGAAGCCAGCCCTTGGGGGGTACATACAGCATCTGCTGACACCCAGCACCTTGAAAAGCCATTCCCAGCATCAGCTCAAGAGAAATAACAAGTTTCTCCCCCTCCCCCCCCCCAGGGGAGGCAGGGAGAGCTTGGGGTGGGGTGGGGTGAAGACTGGAGAAAAATCTTGGTGATAGGGATTGGGAAGGGTAATCCTGAAGKCCAGCATTTGGAGATCAGATATGAGAGATGGCAACAGTCCTCCTTCTCCAGGAAAAGACAGGGAGAGACAGAAAAGGTCTCAGCATCCAACCTGAAATTCCACCATTACTAACACTTAGGAACCTTCTAGAACATACCAGTCAAATTAGGGCATTCTGCTGCATGACAGAGGGAACACAGGAACCCACCTCCAAGTAACCTATCAGTTACCCTATCTTAGAGGTGAAGAAGAGAAGCTAGCCATGAAATAAGTAAATAAATTTCAAATAGTAAAGAAAAAACAGAATGGAGATGGTGGTGGGGTARAGATGGCCCAGAGTTCTTTTTCACTTCTATCAATGGAAAGGGCAAAGACCCAGAGTCGGGAGGGAGTTCAGGGTGTGAGAAGAGGGAAGGGCAAGAGTAAGGCCATGACAAGAAGAATGCTCTGGGAGGAGGATGAATGTTCCCCCAATACAGGGCCTCTTGCTCCTGTCACCTTCACCCTGCCCCCACCCATACTGCCTAGGGGCTGGAGCTGGCCTGGGTGGATCCCCTGACTTCAGACCCCACCCACAAGCTGGTCTTGCTCACACTCTAGTGCCACCTGCATGTCCACCAGCTTGTCTAGTCTGCCCCACTGGCCCTCACCAGGTCCTGCAAATGCTGTGCTTCCAACGCCTGCTGCATGGCCCAGACCTAAACTGGGAAATGACTGTGTCCTTAAAAACTTTCATAGCGCACCTGCTATCATGCCAAGCATTGCTCTAAATGCTGAAAATGCTTCTGTAAGACAGACAGACATCTCTGACTTGTGGAAGACTCATTCTAATGGAGGAGATGAACAAGAAACAGGAATGAGGCACACGGTGCATGAGAGGATGCTGGCTATTTAGAAGGAAGAAATGCCACCAAGGAACAGGAAGCTGGGTGATGGGGAGGGGTGCCCCAGGAAAGTGGCTAGGAGTGGAGCAGAGGCATACCAGTGCCGGTTTGTTGTCATCTTCTCTGTTCTCTGGCACCTTCCTCAGATTTGAGGTCACTTTATCAAAGATGTCTGCATGTCACGGTTTCCATGAGAAGAGAAGCAGATAGAACATAGGGGGACTCAGGGTGCCAGAGTCCCTTCCCACCCGACACCCCCAACCCTCACTCCCCCAGCTGGCTGAGCTTAAAGTATAAATCAGCTCAGGTCACCCCCSCTACCAGAAGCCCTTCAGAGGAGCCACATTCCATTAAGCAGGAAGCCACCACCATTACCAGGACCCTCCCCYTCCACTTCCCAGCTTCATCTCCCACGGCTCTCCCACCCTGGCCTCCTCCAGTCCTGGACAAGTGTACCCCCAGGCCCTGACACAGGTCGTTTCCACCCCCCAGTCAGTCCCCTGCCATTCCCCCTTGTCCCTCCGGGGTCCCTTCCTTCCGGTCTTTGCCTGCCACTCCTCAGAGACGCCTCTCCTGACCGTTGGGCCATATGAGGCCCCACCGGCCCCTCAGTGCGGCCTCCTAGTGACCCAATTTATAAGTGACCACTTTTTGTTTCACTGGGCACCTGCTACTGCTCAGCCCCCAATTCTCTCACTTTTGGGGGGTGAAGGCCCCCCTTTTCCCTGGGCTCTTCCGGTGGGTGTTCCAGMGACTGAGTCCCCCAGAATGCTGGAAGCCCAGCCAATCGCCCCCTCTTCAGCTGGGGGGGGGGCTGAACCCAAACGTGGCCAAGAACAGCCCCAGTGATTGCTACAGGGCGGGTACTGAGGTGAGCAGGGCCAGTTACGGGTCCTTTACTTATGGGTGCTGAGGGGACACTGAAGGTCAGCAGGTCTCTCTCAGAATTCTGAGGTCAAGAACCAGAACCTGGGAGAGCTGGAACTCTGGGGCACCTTGGCTGCAACCGCCAGAGGCTGCCAGGGGAAGGCGCCAACGGGGAGAACMCAACGCGGGCCACGCTGGGGCCAAGACCTTGGCTTCCCATCACCRTCTCCACTGCCACCCACGGGGCTCCCTGGAGAAACGGCTGATTCCAAGACTTGGGCAGGGGAGCCCAGGATGCACCCGGGATACCTCGTATCAGAAAACAAGGAAGAAAGCTTAAAGAATCAGCGGAATATTTCAAGGGAACAGGAACACTTACTGGAAGGGTATTCCACTGGCCAAATTAAGGAAATTTCGAATATCAAGAAAAATAGACATTTTAAGATAAAAGTTGAGATTACTATCAGCAGAATTCACCGAAGGAAATTCTTTATTTATTGATAAATAAAGAAGCAACTGAAGGAGGTTAATATTTGAGTAAATAGAAGAATGTGAACTATATAAAATAAATAAGGGTTATGAAGTTAAGAACTTAGAATTAAAATGTCTTACTGTGATAGCATGTAAATTGGAGGGAGTGAGTTAAATGGGATTAACATGTTCCTAAATCTTAAACTCTCTGGGAGAAGGATATTTGTATTGGGTAAACTGGACACTTTTATTCAACCTGTACATTAAAGCTTCTCTACAGAATCACTAAAAGAGCACAGAGGTGCTGGGTGGCTCCGTATAGTRTGTGGCTAACATGCTCCAGGCCCTGGGCTCGTCCCCAGAACTGCAAAACAAACTTCTACAAATAAAAGACAGCAGAAGATATTACTTCCACCCAAGGAAAGGGGAGAAAATGAGGAGAAACAACCACCCCAAAGCCAAAAAAGGACAGAAAAAGAAACAGAATCAGCAGGACAGAGGACACAAGCAGGTAAAGACACACAGACACCCAAGTCGTCACATTACATACGAGAGGACTGGGGCTTGGAAATAGCACTATATAGAGGACACTATCTAAGTCCATCTGTGGGTTTAATGAAATCCCAAAGAAAATCCCAGCTRGTTGTCATTCTGTTTTACTTTGTGGAATTTGACAAGTTGTTCCTAGAGTTTATATGGAAAAGCAGAGCACTTAAAACAGAGGTTTTGTTGTTGTTGTTTTGTACTGGAGACTGAACCCAGGGGCACTTTACCACTGAGCCACATCCCCAGCCCTTTTAATTTATTTATATTTAGAGACAGGGTTTCACTGAGTTGCTTAGCACCTCACTAAGTTGCTGAGGCTGGCTTTGAACTCGTGATCCTCCTGCCTCAGCCTCCCGAGCTGCTGGGATCCCAGGTGTGCACCACCATGCCCAGCCTAGAAACAGAGCATCTTCAGGAAGAGCTAAGTTGGAGGACTATGGTACTAGATATCAAGAGTAACTAAATGTTCTCTCTCACATGTGGAACTAGAGAAAGAAAGGAATAAAAAGGAAGCTTGTGAAAACAGAAGAGAGACCACAGAGTAAAACTAAGGTGATGGAACGGAAGGGACAATGGGAGGACACAGAAAAGTCCTGGGGAACAAATCTACAAATTATGCTACGTTCATGTACAAATATACCACAATGAATCATGCATATATTTATAATGCACTAATTAATAAAACAACAATAAGAATGGAAGAGAGCCGGCGGGGTGGCACCACGCCTGTAATCCCAGTGGCTCAGGAGGCTGAGGCAGGAGGATCATGAGTTCAAAGCCATCCTCACCAATAGCAAGGCACTAAGCACCTCAGTGAGACCCTGCCTCTAAATAAAATACAAAATAGGGCTGGGGATGGGGCTTAGTGGTCAAGTGCCCCTGAGTTCAATCATCAGTAACCCCCTCCCCTGCCCCCCCMAAAAAGAATGGAAAGGTGATCATGAGAACAGGGCCAGTAGATTGGGGAGAGGGAGAAGYGAGGGAAATGGAAGGTACTGGGGAATGAGACTGATCAATGCTATGTGCATGTAAGAATATGGCCCCAGGAAGCCACTAGTATTTAGAATCATAATGTCCATGTAAAAAGAAGTTTTAAAAAGAGTAACTCTAAAACCCGGTAATTAAGGGGATGGTTAAAGGTACGGCTTGACCTGACTGCAGCCATCTTGAGTCGTTAGTGACAATACCAAATGTTGGTGAGGATGTGGAACACACTGAACTCTCACATTGTGGGAGGGTAAGTTAATTCAACCACTGCTCTAGTTTGAACACTGTGTCCCTCCAAAATTCATGCTAAAACCTAGTCTCTAATGCCACAGTACAAAGAGGGATGGACTTTAGGAATGTTAGGTCATGAAAGTTCTTCCCTCATGAATGARATTAGCCTCAACTAGGTGCAGTGCAGCACACCTGTAATCCAGTAATAAGGAGGCTGAGGCAGAAAGATTGCATGTTCAGGGCCAGCCTGGGCAACTTGTCAAGACTCTCAGCAACTTAGTGAGACCCTTTCTCAAAATAAAAATAAAAAAATAAAAAGGTCTGATGGTATAGCTCAGCAGTAAACCGTCCCTGGTTTCAACCCCCAGTACTACAAAAACAAAACAAAAGAGGCTTTACACAGCCTTCAACCTATTCTTCCCCTTCTACCTTCATGAGAACACAGCATTTGTCCCTTCTGCCATGTGAAGATATTGTAAGAAGACTCTCACAAAAACACCAAATATTGGTACCTTGATCTTGAACTTCTAGCCTCCAGAACTCTGAGAAATAAATTTTTGTTATTTATAAATCACCCAACCTCTGGCATTTTGTTACAGCAGCAAGGACCAACACAACTATTTTTTAAAAACTATTTGGCGATGTCTACTCAAGCTGTAAATAAGGCATACACTATGACTCAGAAATTCCACTCTTGGATAAAGGTCTCTGCACCAAAAGTCATATACCAAAAGGTTCACAGTGCTGGGAGCACTGGGGTATGCCTGTAATCCCAGCAGCTCAAGAGGGAAAGGCAGGAGGACAGCAAGTTCAAAGCCAGCCTCAGCAATTTAGCAAGGCCCTAAGTAACTTGGTGAGAAACTCTCTCAAATTTTTTTAAATTACAAAAGGGCTGGCAGGGGGAGTTCAGTGGTAGAACCTCTGTGGGTTCAATCCCTTAGCAAGACATTAAGCAACTCAGTGAGACCCTGTCTCTAAATAAAATACAAGATAGGGCTGGGGATGTGGCTCAGTGGTAAAGTGCCCCTGGATTAAATCCCCAGTATGTATGTATGTATGTATGTATATATATATATCCTGAATAACTGAACAATCTTGAAAGAAGAAAACAGAGCGAGAGGTCTCATACTCCCTGATTTCAAAATAACATGGTACTAGCACAAGGACAGACGTGAAGACCAACAGATTAGAATAGAGAACCCCAACATAAATGCTCCCATACAGGGTCAAATGATTTTTTAATAAAATGCTAAGACTTCACTGGGGAAAGGACAGTCTTTTCAACAAATAGTGCTAGGAAATCTGGACATCCACATGTAGAAGAATGCATTAGGAATATAAGGTCTTCCTAAATCAAGGAAGACAGCCAGTTGCATTTTGGGTGCCTGGCGATGGGCCTGGGGAAATGGGGAGTTACTGTTTCATGGGAACAGAAGTTCAGTTTAATAAGACGAAGAGAGTTCTGGAGATTGAGGGTCGTGATGGCTGCACAAGATTGTACTTAACACTACAGATAAGCACATTTAAAATGGCTAACATGGGGTCTGGGGTTGTGGCTCAGTGGTAGAGTGCTCACCTAGTACTGCAAGGCCCTAGGTTCGATCCTCAGCCTCACATAAAAATAAATAAATAAATAAAGGTATTGACAACTACAACTAAAAAATATACATTAAAAAAGTAAATAAATGAGGGCTGGGTTGTGGCTCAGTGGTAGAGCGCTTGCCTTGCACACATGAGGCACTGGGTCCAATCCTCAGCACTACATAAAAATAAATGAATAAAATAAAGATATTGTGTCCATCTACAACTAAAAAAAAAGAATTTAAAAAGTAAATAAATGAAATAAAATGGCTAAGATGGTAAATTCTATGCTATGTGTATTTTAACACAGTAAAAAGAAAATTGGAGGAAAACAAACCTTTTTAATTCAAAAAGAAATGAAGTTGAACCAGACAGATATATACACACACACACACACACACACACACACACACACACACACACATATAAACACATGCATACAAGAGTATATTATTAATATTTAAAGTATATTGCAAGTTGTGCTGGTGCAGGTCTGTAATCCCAACAACTAGGGAGACTGAGACAGGAGGACTATAAGTTTGAGGCCAGCTGCATCAACTTAGCAAGGTCCTAAGCAACTTAGCAAGACCCTGTCTCAAAATAAAAAATAAAAAGGGCTGGGAATATGGCTCAGTAGTAAAGTGTCCCTGGATTAAATTCCCAGTACCAAAAACCATAATGATGATGATAATGATGATGATAATAATAATAATAATGTATTATTCATAGTTATATTTAAAATAATAATTATACATACAATTTATTTAAAATGTTATTAACTATATATAGTTAAAATTTAAATATAAATATAGTTTTATTTAAATGTAGCTGGGAGCAGTGGCACACACCTATAATCCCAGTGGCTAAGGAGGTTAAGGCAAGAGGATTGCAAGTTGAAGGCCAGCCTCAGCAACTTAGCAAGACCCTGTCTCAAAATAAAAAATAAAAAGGGCTGGGGGTGTAATTCAAGGTAAAGTGCCCCTGGGTTTGATCCCCAGTATCCCCCCCCCAAAAAAAGAACAGAATGCAAAGAACAGAATTGCACAAAATATTTTCAAGTCATATATCTAATAAGGGAATAATATTCAGAACATGTAAAAACTACAACTAAACTACACAAACAAACAAATTCAAAAATAGGGAAAGGATTTGAATAGATACTTTTGCAACAGAAATATACAAATGGCCAAAAAAGCACAAGAGGGCTGGGGTTATGGCTCAGCGGTAGAGCGCTTGCCTAGCACATCGGGGTGCTGGGTTCAATCCTCAGCCCCACATAAAAATAAAATAAAGGTATAAAAAATTTAAAAAAAACACACATGGAAAGATGTCACTAATCAAAGCCACAATAGTCACTAATCAAAGCCACAGTAAGATATCACTCTACACCCTTTAAGTTGGATTTTGGGGAGTGAGGGAAGGAAAATAAATGTTGGCAAAAACATGAAAAAATGGAAATCTCCTACATTGCTAGTGGAAATTACCAATGGTTTCTCAAAAACTAAATCCAGAATAACCAGAAGTTCCACTCCAAGGCATATACCAAGGGGAAATAAAAATGTGCATCTATATAAAACCTTGTGGGTAAATGTTCATAGTAGCATTACTTAAAATAGCCAAAATATAGAACCAGCCCATTTGGCCATTAACAAAATGTGGTATGTTCCTACAGGGGAATCTTATTCAGCCATAAAGAGGGATGAAATGCCAGTACAGGCTATAACATGAATGAAACTTGAAAGTATTGGGCCAAGTGAAAGAAGCTAATCCCAAAGAACCACATACTGAATAATTCCACTTATATAAAATGCTCAAAATAGATAAATCTATGCAGACAGAATGTAGATTAGTATTGTCTAGGGCTGGATATGGGTTGGGTAGGTGATTATATCTAAATGGTTCAGGGTTTCTTTTGGGGTGATAAAAATGTTCTGAAACTGATCATGGCCATGGTTGCACAACTCTGTATATAATATAGCTTTTAGATTGCACACCTTAAAGGAGGGAATCAGATTTTACATAGTAAATTATATCTCAATAAAATTGTTTAAAATAAAACCTACTTGAGCCAGGTATGATACACACATGTATTTTCAGCTACTCAGGAGGCTGAGGCAGGAGCATCCCGAGTTCAAAGCCAGCCTGGCAACTTAGCAAGACTGTCTCAAAATGAGAAAAAGGGCTAAGGAGAGGCTGGGGTTGTAGCTCAGTGGAAGAGCACTGGTCATGCATGCATGAGGCCCTGGGTTCAATCCTCAGCATCATGTAAAAATAAATAAACATAAAGATATTGTGTCCATCTACAACTAAAGGAAATATTTTTTTAAAAGGGCTGAGGATGTAGCTCAGTGCCCCCGAGTTCAATCCCCAGTACTTAAAAAAATCACTATCAAAAACAAATTTCCTCTACATTATCAGAATCATCAATACCAAAGAGGGAGTGTATTAAAAAGCAAGATCTAGGGCTTGGGCTGGGGCTCAGCAGTAGCGCACTTGCCTGGCATGTTTGAGGCACTGGGTTTGATTCTCAGCACCACATATAAAAATAAACAAAAAATAAAGGTCTATCAACAATTTAAAAAAAGGAAACAAGATCTGATTTATGATACCAATTAAAACCATAAAATAGCTAGGTTTAATCCATCAAAGACTGCACTAGACCTAAATTTTCCATATACCCTATAGCAAGGAAAACTTGAATACATAGATAAACCAATAGCATTCTAATAAAAATGCCAATAAAAGTTTTTGATGACCTATACAAATGTATTTTAAAATGTATGTGACATAATGAAAGTCTACTGATTGCTAAGTCAATTTTTTATACATTTATTTTATCTTTTTTATGTGGTACTGAGGATTGAACCCAGCGCCTCAGATGTGCTAGGTGAGTGCTCTACCACTGAGCCACAACCCCAGCTCCCTGCTAAGTCAATTTTCAGGAGGAATTTCCTTTTGAGGAGGAATTCTCTCATCTTCACAGATGTGAATATATATTTGCATAGTAAATTATATCTCAAAAAAATTGTTTAAAATAAAACCATGGTAATTTTTTAAATAAATCACACATGGTATTGGTACATAAACAAAAATTGATTAGGAGAAGATGTTTATAGCAGCAGAAACTGATAGAGAATGAATTACAGAACTGCAAATCAGGAAGAAGAACCAGTTCCAGACAAGACTATAGGGTCTTGACCTGGTGGAGACCCTGAAGTCTCAACAGTGGTGAGCTGAGTCTGAGCTACCTGGCCACTGGCCAAACCTTGGCCTGAGGAGCAGGGCCCGAAATTTTTCCATAAAAAGGTGGACATTCTGAACGGAAGGTATAGTTGCTAAATAGACTTAGAATTTGGACAGAATAGAAATATTATATAGTTCTGGGTGTGGTGGCGCATGCCTATAATCCCAGCGACTTGGGAGGCTGAGGCGGGAAGATCACAAGTTTAAAGCCAACCTCAGCAGCTTAGTGAGGTCCTAAGCAACTTGGTGAAACCCTGTCTCAAAATTTTTAAAAGGGGCTGGGGATATGACTCAGTAGTAAAAAAATGCTCTTCAATAGGGTTCAATCGCCAGGATCAAAAAAAAAAAAAGGAGGAGGAGGAGGAGGAGAACAACAACAACWMCTCCTCAGGGAGTTTAAGCAGCTCATTCTAAGTCAAGTGCTAGGTCTCTGTGTGCTATTGCCATTGTGCTATCTGTTGCAGGCTGCTCCCTTCCTCTGTCCTCTCTGCTCCCCACTCTGCCCTATGAGTCTGAGTATAGTCATCCTTTAGGGCTGTGGCCCTTCCTTACTCACCCTCAGGGAAGCTGTCGTTGACTACATTGTTGCACACCTCGGCCCAGCTGTCCAGATTCCCCTCCAGGGGCATGGTGCGAATGCTATTGTCCTCAGAATATTCCTGCTGGCTGCTCAATGTCAAGGTGGAGGTGTCACTGATCATGAGGCTGGAGCCCATGCTCAGAGTCTCATTGGAGCCCAGGATCAGAGTCAGGCATGAGGGTGGYGAGAGGGAGGACCTGGGGCCATGGGCAGCGGAATGCATGCTGACACCATCGCTCGAGGCAGAAATCAGGGTCAAGCATGAGGCCTGAGTGACCGTCATGTTCACATCAGGTCTGGGGAGACTATCAGAAGCCACATTGACGGTCCCCTTTGAACTTGGGCTCCAGTTTGCACCAAAGGATCCTTTGGAAATAGACCCAGCGATGTTACATGGAGCCAAATTGAGAGTCTCATTTGTGTCTGGGATTGGGGTGCCACCAGAATCTGCATCAGCATTCAGGTTTAGTGCGCAGATGTTTTTTGAGCCCACATCGAGAAGCTGATTAGAGTCAGGGTCCAGAGTAGTGTCTGAGACTCGAATAAGGGGTGCTTGTGAGCCCGACCGAGAGACACAGTGGCCCAGAACCAGGGCTTCTCTAGAATGGGGCCTCATAAATGAGCTCGACTCGGGCCTGGAAGGGTTGGAGTTACTCTGACCCAAATCAAACATCTTGCTCGGAAGGGGCTTGCAGTCCTGCTCAGGATTCAGCCCAGAGTGGTTCCCTGAGCTCAGACAGGTGGCCTCTGCAGGGCCTGGGCTCAGAACAGGGTTTGAGGCTGGACTAAGGGACCCCTGTGGGTCAGGCTTTGAGATGAGACTCAGATTGTCTTCGGAGCTGGCAGTGTTATCAGGAATTAGGTCAGAGGCCTCTTCTGGAACAAGATTCAGAGTTGGATTCAGGTCTGGAACGAGAGGCACCCCAGGACTATGGGGTGGACTCAAGATAGGATCAAGGGCCACATCCATGTTGGGCCCAGCGAGGGTACCAGAGTTGAGACTTGGTGTCATCTTTGGGTCTTCATGGAGGACCACACCAGCCATTGGACTCAGGGCCATGTGCAGTCTGGAGGTCTCTCAATGCTACTGCCCCTTCTTTTCAATGGCCAACTGTCGAGCTCCCTGCAGGACCCCTGAGAGAAGACAAAGGCCACTAGGCTGCACCTGTTAAAACTTCCCCTGCCAGCTCACCATTCTTAGAATGAGGGCCTCTTGCTGTGACTTACAAGCCCTTGATGGTCCTTGGACCACCTTTCCAGCCCCATCACACCCTGTTCCCCTCCTTGCTCTCTTGGTGTGTAACCCCCTTCTCTGACCACAGCCTGCTTCCCCTCAGCTCATGACCCTGAACAAGCGCAGTGCTCTTGGCTTCAAACCTCCCCCTGTCATCCTTTGCCAGTCCCACTACTCCCAGTAAAAATGCATCCCCCTTCATTCCAGCCGCTCACCGAGTAGTCTGGCCCTTACTAGGGTCAAGCTCTGGATGTCTAGAACTGTCTTATCTTGGACTCTGGGTCACTCACAACTCCTAACACAACGCCAGGCACACAGGTGCAAGTCTACAATGGACAGACCAGGAACCTCTTTTGCTTTAGGTAGAAAAGGGGGAGGAGCCGAATTCCAGCAGGGTACCTGTGTCAGGGCCATGTAGGTGCACTAGCAAGGATCCCTGAGCCTTGGGGCACTGCAAGCCAGAGATAAGCTCTGAAGTTGCCAGAACTACTCTGCATGTGGTCACAGCACTAGCCTCAAAGCCACGTTGGCAGAGCCGCCTGTGGCCCTTGACGGCTGGCCTGTTCTGGGTGAGGCCGACTCTGTAGAGAAGAGCACGGGCCATACCAGAAACAGAACCTGCTCAGTGCAGCAATCTAACCACTGAGTGGACTCCCCAGTCCTCCACTACCACCCCCCCCACACACACACACACCCCGGGGCCACGCTCCCTGCAGAATCATTGGGTTGGCTCACCTGCGTACATGGTGTTCTTAAGCAGGCGTGGGCCCCTAGGAGGAGATGCAGAAGGAAATCAAGTCAGGAAAAGAACAGCTTTTTCAACTCCCACAGAGCAGTCTATAGGCCAGGTGGGAACACACATGCGCCACTCCCCACATTGTGTGCACATACACAGACCAAGTCCTGGAGTTCGATACTACTGGTGAAGGTCACTCACCCCATTGGCCCTCTGGGCAGCTAAGACCATCTCTAAATTCCTGCCTAAACTCCTCCTGCCATCTTTAGGAAAAGTACCCTGTCATTAAAAGACCCTCTGCATGTGTTTCTGGACCCAATTTTTGCCCTCCATATATCCTCTTCCCCTCTCCATTCCACCCTTGCTTGGCTCCTTTGAGTCTCTCAAAAAAAAAAAAAAAAAAAAACAGTTATGTCTGGACCTCCCAATGTCTGGGTGCCCCTTCTATACTCCCCTTCCCCAGCTACTGCTTACAGCTTCACCCTGTCAGGGCTCAGGGTCTCCTAGATGGTTGAGGGCACCTGTAAATTCTCAGGATACCTCATTCCCTTCACCTTCCCTGGCACCCAGAATCTGGCTTCCCCACCAGACTAAACTCCCTCAGAGCAGGGACCGTGACCACCTGGCTCTCTGCCCATGTCTAATGTCTAGCATAGCACCTGGCATGCAGTAAATGCTCAGAAAGGTTTGGGTCCACTGTTTGATCCTTCTCTCTCTCCTCCACTTTTGCTAGGTCATTCCATCCCTACTCACACACCAACTCGGTCACCAAATCATTTCCTCCCTCTGCAAATGTGCTGTGCTCTTTCTAACTTGGTTTTGGGAAGATCATAGATCTGGATTCGCATTGTCTTGAATTCAAACCCCAGCTCATCCTCTCACTAGCCTGAGTGGACCAGGTCAAGAGACTTCTCCCTGCTGGCCCTGTTCTCCTCAGGGGCACAAAGTCCCTGTCTCACCCGGAGGTGATAGTTACCGAGCCTGCCATGGAGCTCATGGCCAAGCCAAGGCCTGACCTAAATGACAGCTGCTCATTTCATTCCTTTGCTGAGCACTGTGGGAAAGAGCTGTGACGCCCTCAGCGGCCATTGTTTCCTAGAGGTTCCTGTGTGTTGCACGTGCCCCAGGACCAGGAAGTGTGCACTGCCCCCCAGTACAGGGCGATTTCACACAGGCATTTTAAATGTGGGCTGCTTGATTCCACAGTCCCTTGCCAAAGCCCTGTACTTAATTTTGTGTTCATAATTTTGTCTTTTTTCATTTAAARAGGAGGCTGTATTTTTCCCTGATTTTCCCTCCCATCCATGCACACAGGCACGCGCGTGTGCACACACATGTCACAGTTATGAAAGAGAGGCATTTTCAACCTGGAAAAATAGGGGTGGTGCAGTTAGGAAGCAGTGAGTAGGATTTTGAAAGAGCTACCTAGTTAGGGCTGTRGGAAAAGGCACTAGTGTCCCCCCGCACCCCAGCAGATGCTCAGTATCATGTCCCTTGGGCAGAATGCCACAGGTCTCAACCCTGGTTGAAACTCTTCCATGAGAAAAGATTGGATCATCCCCACATTCTCAATCCTCCTCCTCCACCTTGCTACAGGGAAGCCAGTCTTCAGAGCTGCCTGACAGGCACTGGGGCAGTCCATGGTTTGCCCTCCACCATGTAGATGCTGTGCATTGAGAAGAGCAGCAGCTGGTGAGGGACTTGTGGGACCCAAGGAAGCTACGACAGCCACAAGCTGCCTGTGGACCTTAGCCCCAAGTTCTCATGCCCACAGTGGGGAAGGCAGAGCATGGCTATAAAACAGCTCGTCCAGTGCAAGAGTGAGAAGCACCGGCTGATGGCCATCCCTCTCCCCGAACTCAACCATCCTCTCCAGACCCTGGGCAGGGGCTGCTAGTGCACTTGCCCCCAGTACCTTAATGGGTAGAATTATCAAAGATCTTCCGGTTCCTCTTTGAGGAAAAGATTATCAGATATATGGGCCCAGAATGTGTTGGCCACTTGTGCAAGTATGTTTGTATAAACAGATGTGCACGTGCTCAACATCTGACACTGGGGCACCTCAGATCCAGACAATCCAAACCAGAACTCCCCAGACCCTCCAATTCTCTATTACAAAGGAATGAAATCATCACCCAATGCAGGAACAGTAGGATCCTTGACTACCATGTTTCTCACTTGCTGCGTGCAATTTTAGCCACCTTCTGCTCATTCTAGATCCAGAACATTTCTCCATTCCCTCTGCCAGACCCTAGTCCATGTCCCATTGCCTTGGGTTGAATCTTGGAATTGCATCTTGGAATTGCTCACTCAATAGACCCTCCTGTTTGTAGTCCTGCCCCAACAAATTATTTTCCAAAATGAACCACAAAAGTCTTCCTTTAAAATTGCATGAATCAGGGCTGGAATTATACCTTAATGGTAGAGCACTTGCTAGCATGCATAAGGCCCAGGGTCCAATCCCTAGCACCACACATACACACATACATAAATCATGCAACAGTGTGGTACTGGCATAAGGATAGACCGGTATAATAAAATTGAAAGTCCAGAAATAAACCCATACGTATGGGATCAATTGATTTTGATAAGGGTATAACTATTCAATGGGGAAAGAACAGTCTCTTCAACAAATAGTGATATTGACATGCAAAAGAATAAAGATGGACTCCTACCTTCTACAAAAATTAACTCAAAATGTATTAAAGACCTAGAAGTAAGAGCTAAAACTATAAGACTCTTGGAAGAAAACACAGGAGTAAATCTTCATGACCTTGGCAATTGCAATGGTTTCTTAGGTATAACACCAAAAGCATAAGCAGCAACAAAAATAGATAAACTGGACTTCATCAAAGGTAAAAATTTGACAGGCACAGGGGTACATGCCTATAACCCAATGACCTGGGTGACTGAAGCAGGAGGATCACAAGTTCAAAGCCAGTCTAAACAAATTAGAAAGATCCTCAGCAACTTAGTGAGACCTGATCTCAAACTAAAAAATAAAAAGGACTTGAGACATAAGTCAATGGTAAAACACCCCTGGATTCAATCCTCAGGACAAAAAAAAGGTAAAAATATTTGTACATCAAAAGGCACTGTCCACAAGTGAAAAGACAATCTACACAATGGTAGAAAATGTTAGTAAATTATATATATGATAGGGGTATAGTATTCAGAATATATAAGGAATTCTTACAATGCTATAACATAAAGACCGACAACCCACTTAAAAATTCGACTAACAGAGCTAAGGATACAGCTCAGTAGCAGAGCTCTGGCTTGCATGTGCAAGGTGCTATTTCCAATCTCCAGCACTGGAAAAAAAAGAGACAGAGAGATACACAGGGAGAGAGAGAGACAGAGACAGAGAGAAACAGAGAAAGAAAGCAAGCAAGAKCGATTGAGCAAACAATTTAAATAGCCATTTCTACAGAGATGAACAAATGACTCATATGCACATGAAAATATGTTCAAAATCATGAGTCATTAGAGAAATRCTAATCAAAATGATATGGAGCTGGGTGCAATGGTGCATACCTGTAATCCCAATGATTTAGGAGGCTGAGGCAGGAGGATCACAAGATCAAGATCAGCCCCAGGGGCTGGAGTTGTGGTTCAGTGGGCAGCGTGCTTGCCTAGCATGCATGAAGCACTGAGTTCGATCCCCGTCACCACATAAAAATATGCAAATAAAATAAAAGTATTAAAAAAAAAAAAGATCAGCCCCAGCAACTTAGTGAGTCCCTAAGCAACTTAGAAAGAGCTTGTCTCAAAATAAAAAGGGATGGGAATGTGGCTCAGTGGTTAAGCACTCAAGTTAAATCCCCAGTATCAACAATACCAAAAAAAAAAAAAAAAAAAAAAAACTATAATGAGATACTATTTCACATTCCCTAGGATGGTTATAAATTTTTTAACAGAAAATAACAAGTGTTGATGAGGATGTGGAGAAATTAGAACACTCATACATTGCTGGTGGGGTTGTAAATTGGCACAGCCTCTATTAAAAATCAACTTGGTGGCTGGGAATGTGGCTCAGGCGGTAGCGCGCTCGTCTGGCATGCGTGCGGCCCGGGTTCAATCCTCAGCA